AAATGGAGAGCCTCAGTGGGCTTATCCTGGCCGGATTGGGTGGCTGATCGTTGATAATTTGAAAATGGCCAAAAAATGCGACTACAAGATGATCTGAAAGGTGGCAGTAATAAAACGGCCCAGAGTAATGCCGCATGACCAAGTGGAATTGGTTTCGCCCACAGAGGTGACCGGGAAAAGGTACTTGGGGAGGGCCTCACATTATGTTCGTGTGCCTGCTGGCAGATTCACATCTAAGATTGTGCAGTGCCCAGAGCCTAAGCTGAAAATCCAATAAAATCTAATAAATATTGCCAAACCGTGCAGGAAAGGATCAAAGCCCGATCTTGATGTTATCCTGCGGAGATAAAGGTGAAAGAAATTGTGTCAGTGCCTCGCTTCGCAAATCCTTTCTGGCACAACATGACATGACTTTTGCCGAGTAGGCGTTTACCCGTCTTAGCACCCTCTCGGCCAACTAATCCGCTTTCATTCGGTTTGCGGCGGGCGATCGGGATCAGTTTCTTGTCGGTTTTGAGTCCGTCTGAGTCTGATGAGTTCATCTCGTTGTGGTCCTCCTGCGGCCCTTGAACTTGGACGTTTTTAAATTTCCTTGCTTTTGTCGGCTGCGGTCTGTAGTTGCTGTCGGCGGTCTTCTACGAGTATGTGTAACAAGTGCACAGGGATAATCCGTCGCACACGCGCACCTCTCGGACGTATTTTCCTGCCTCCAACTCGGAGTCCTTTTCCCTCGTTCCCACTCGCCGCTTGGCCAAATAAATAAATTATAATCTGCTTTTGTGTTTGATTTCAATCAAAATGCAGCCACGCCCCCGTTGTCTTCGTCAAGTCTTGATTCCATGACTCGTCGCTTAACTCATCTCTGGCCTGGGTCGCGGAATCCGGTCGGAGTCGGGTGCGAAGTCCCATCATAATCTTGGCCTGCGGCTGAGTCAACTCAACGTTTGACAACATGCCGTTTTCTTGTCTTTTTTCGCTCGCTTGTTTTTGTCCGCTGATCGCGCTGATCTATATAAGCGGATATTCGGATATACTGATTTCGAAAGAATTCCAAAGACACTTCCAAAGACGCTGCTCCGCGGGAAGTGGCTTAGGCAGGTCAAGAAAATATTTTGGTTGATTTTTGATTTTGGGACAATTTATGGATTAACTTTGTGATCGGCTTGAGCCAGGCCTCATATTGCTTGTGAATGAACTATTGCAGAGGTAACAAGTACAGCCTCTTTGAGCACAGGCCAACTATCAATAAAGGCCTTTTCTGAGGCCTAAAACATTATAGAAGAGTTCGCTTAGCGAACTGATTTAGAAGATCATGATCACAGCGATTGCGGTAATCGAGGAGATCACTGACCAGGCTGAGGAGAAACCAAATGCCAAGCTAAATTGCCGTTAGTTATCGCTTTGTAGTCGAGCCGACAAATCAGCGCAATGCACGCCCATTTATATTTATATCAGCGAGCAATCGACATGATCGCCATCGCCATCAACAGCCCAGAAAAGTGCAGCAGGAAAAGATCGCCCCGAGAGAACACTGGCCTATGAATCACTCTCTCGCCAGCAAGTCGGATCAAATAACATATTCATGAGACCAGGACTAGCATGTAGCCGCGGCCTCCCTAAGGCCAACACAGGCAGCATCGAATTATCCGTGGGATTACACTGATCCCCCACAGAATGAAGCACTTTGCTAGATGGGAGCAGGTCAATGGGAAACCTGGATCTCTATGTCAGTACAGATATCGAATTTAGCCGTGGCAATTGGAACAACATTGTTAGGAAGGCCTGTGGCGCAAACTGACTTCCGAATGGCTGTTATTGAAAGTATCTCAAATGCTTATATACATATATATATCTTTTTCATAAATATCATACATGATTGCAATGGTCAATCATTAATTTTTGTTATATCCTTGCTTGGTTTTATAATTTAAGTTTGGAGCATGAAACGCAGTGAAGGAGTCATTTCTGACCCAATATTAATGATCGGCATCAACAGGCAGAACTTTCTAGGAATGCAGAAAAGAAAAAAAATTTTTATTGATTTTTCCAAAATTTTATAAGGGGTTACATCGTTAAAATAGTAAAAAATTAACAAAAATTTTAAGTTTTTTACATTTTTTAAATGAAATATGCTGATTTGTTAGCATAACATTAGCAAAATGGTATGGAGTCATTTCGGACCCTATAAGTCATATATATTGTTGATCAGCATCAACGGGAAAATCTTTCTAGTCTTGTAGGGTATGCACATTTTGTAAACTAACATAAACTATTATAGAAAAACTTTCCGATTGAATTTTAATGAATTTTCGACTGAGTAATGGTGTATTTGGTCGGCAAGGGTATAAAAATTTATATTTTCGGAAGATAGCTTCCCTTCATTATTTTTTGTTTGTTTCTAAAATATGATATTTTTATAAATCTTTTTATCTTGTACTAATTTATGTATTTATATACTTATTTTTTATTTGAATACATAGTTCAAATTGTTTAGTGTCATAAGCTCTTCAGAACTTGTTTTAATTTAAAATTGTATTCAATGGTGACCTGAGCAGTACAGAAATAGAAATAGAAATAGAAATCTCACAATGGTGACACACACAGCAAACCCACTGGCTAAGTCGGATCCAGTTCAGGTCCGTGCCGAGAGCTGCTGTCGAGGCATGGGGGATGATCGGCACACATGACTCAGTTAGCGCATAACATCGCCATTTTTGCGCTGTCCTCTGACAGATCCTTGTGACGATCTTCCTGTCCCTCGATCGCTGGATACGGAAGCAGAAAAACGCTGCTGAAGTAAACTAAATCATAATATATTCGCAAGGAGATCTGACATTTTCTCGCTGTCCTGCCACTCTTCCTAGATCCTTGATTGGATTTTACTCCACACTAAGGAGAAGGAGGGTTGCAGAGATCGGTTTTATTGTTTCCCTAATTCGTTCCGATTGGGAGAGTAGGCCTGGCGGTGTTCATGGAGGATATGGAGGATCGGAGTCCTCAATAGCTGCAATGCATTGCAATGGATTGCGCCGTGTTACTCATTTACAGCAGATTAGCGACGCCTTTGGTGATCGTATTGTGGCTTGGACTGGTCTGGCTGAGTCGTCAGTCGTCAGCCATCAGGGATATGAGCACCGAGAACTAAGCCACATCTGCTGCCCGAGCAATTGGATGCGGCTCGATGGCATCGCCTCCTTCTCCACATTAGCACGGTGCATTGTTTTTTGTCGTGCGCCTATTTATTTATGGCCCAGAGCCGCCCGACCAGAAAAAATCCTCTCCTGGCTGGCTGATGCGGGGCGGGAACAATAAATTAGTTTGAGTATTCGATCATGTGTATAAGGAGTCGATGCTATCGGTCACATCAATCCGAAAGCAACTAAAATATGTATCGATTTCAAGTCCCTCTAAAAATTCTATGTATGTTTATATAGGTATAAGTATAGAATCACTATTGGGGTATATGATTCATAAAAAACGAATTATTTTTCAAATGTCATTTATAATCCCAGTCGCTTTTAAAATCTTAATCAATGTATGTAAGCAAAGAGAAAATTGCTCATAGATTTGCAACCTTTTTTAGCCGTTCGCTGTAGGAATTCGTCAAATGAATGATTATCTCTCAAATTGTGGAACCAATGCAATATCGGGTCTTTTTGAAGAATGCAATTGCTGTCCCTATAGCAATTCCATCGTGTCTGCTAAGGTTAATCGCCCTTTTATACGAAATGGGAAAACACAAATTTATAAAAGTTAAGTAGACTTCCATTTCTTTTAGTTCACACAATATAATATCGTTGTTGGCGACATCTAGTGCTCAGAAGCTGTGTTAGGACTTCTTATGGGCAGCACTTTTGAGCGGCAACTTGCTGTTCCTTTTCAAAATCCAATTGGAAATTCAATAATTTGGCCCGAAAAAAGGGATACGTTTAAGTTGATGACCTCATCCATTTCTTCCCGACTTGCTCTGGCCACGGCTTCCTTAAAACAGCGGCCCTCGGACAATATAATAATTTTATCATGAATGCTCAGTGCAACGCCCACTAGCGACACGCCCCTTGTGCCCAAGCCCAGAGCTAAATAAAAAAAAGGAGCGCGGCTGCTCCTCCAATCTTTGAGAGGGGGAACCCAGCTCGAACGTGCTGTCATCGATTGCCAAGGGGCATCGGAGGTCGGCGCAAGAAGAGAAGTTAGCGGAGCCAACAGAGCCAGTGCGGAGCCCGAGAATCGAAGCTCCGTCAGGTGATAGAGCCGCAACAGTTTGAGCACAAGAGTCAGAGCCGAAGCCCGAGCCCCGAGCCCCCGATCTCCCGACTACATGCCCTAATGTGATTACAGACTTTAAGTTTATAAACATCGAATGGAGCTGGGGCTGCTTTGGTTTGCTCCTGGTGCAGGCATTCGCGGCCCTCCTGTTGCGTTGCAATTACGGCGCGTGCAGGCGACGCTTGTCCACTCTCATGCCCTTCATCCTGCTCCGTTCTCGTCCAGCGTCCACCTGGGGGAGTTACTCCTCTGCAACTCCCCTTTGCTGATCGCCGCTCGCCGCTCGCATCTCTCTACCCACTGCTGCGGCACATGATGAATTCTTATTAGCTGTCGTTGGCCGCGGCAACTTCAACCGCTCGGCTTCCTCATAACTTGTGCTCTATTTCTCCGCTCTCTGCTCTGCATGCCTTTGGTGGGATCAAAATCTGGATCTCCCTTGAGCTGTCTGCGGTCCGTTGTCAGTTTCTGCTGCCGCGCTGTCTGCCTTGTCGATGCCCAGCCACGTATCAGTTGGCTGGGATCAGGCAGGGTTTCGTGTTCCTTCACCTGGCCAAGGGCACGCGCAAATCCCTAATGGAATTCGCCCCAAAATGGGCATGTGAGAAGCGAGGCCAGATTTTCTTCTCTGCCATCGAGAAAGCCCAGACCATTCGTTACAGACGATAATTAACACTACCTAAAACACTGTTTAAGGTATAGATAGATACATTATATTTTAAACAATTAATTCATTAATAATCGCAAGCCATTACAATCACTCGTTGAGGTGGACACCTTCGCCATTCACTTGAATAGTGATTTGGTCACTGTGGCCGCTTCCATCGGCGTCTCTCACCCGGTGAGCCTGCTGGGGGCAGGAGCATGCCTGACCAGGGAGCGCAAGGAGATCTCGTCGCTCTCTCGTCTTATAAACCGACGCCGCGTCCTGGCAAAGTCGAAGGTCTCACGCTGCCTCTGCCGGGATTGGGCGTAGGAGGCGTCCGTCAGCTGCTGCAGGGTCTGCGAGGAGCTGGTGCGCCGCATCTGGGGGACATCCACCACCGTCTGGTGCTGAGACTGCCCTTGGACAGCAGACCCTTGGACAGAGGGCTGGCGCTGGCGGCCACCAAAGCATCCCGTTGAGTACCGCCCATCTGCAGAACGAGAGCGCCGGTGACGGGCGGACTCCCGCGCGCTAAGAAGTTGCTGGAAGAAGAATTAAGTCACGGAAAACAAATTTTAACCTTGTTTTAATAGAGCATAGCCTACCTGCTGCATCTCTTCCTTGCGCAGACGTCGCAGACCCTGCTGTTCCTCCAGTTTGTTGCTCATCAGGCACATCCAGTCGCGGGCTTGCCTCAGCGACAAGGAGCTCTGAGATCGCTCGGGCAATCGGCTGGGGAAGAGCACTTCACGAGCTCCTACCACACTGCCGGTATCCATGACAAATACTCGAGGAAAGTCGATTACAAAATCACGACTCCGAATGAGATCCGCTAGAGCTCTGGGCCGAACTGGAGCTTGTCCGGACACGGGCTCAAGGGCAGAGGCGCCTTCTGCATCCACAATTGCCACCCGCTCTGGCGGGTCTGGCTGGTATTCCAGGATACTCTCCTCACTGCCTAGAAACTACAATAAGAAGTGTCCTTCTATTTCTAGTTTGTCAACAGGTAAAAGGTGATACGATCACAAGCGACTTTAAAAGACAAGGAAGCGGCGACTCTAAGAGATAAAGAAGAGGCGACTCTTAAGCGTTTTCAATTTACAGAATTCAATGTTTATTTTTGGTTGCTTCTTATAAATGTTTGAGTCCACAATTCATTAAAGGGGCTTAGCAAAGATAACCTGTGTATTTTACTGTTGTTCTAACTGATCATCATGGTCTTGTTATACGGTTTATGATAAACTACGTAAACGAAACATACAAAATAAATTGCGGAAAATAACCAAAAACAATAGGTATTAATACAAATAAACACAGAAAACATTATGTGACTACAACTAAATTCAAACAGAATTCTCTCTCTCGCTTTATTTCATTTGAACAACTAAAAGCAAATACTTTGGCACCTTTGATAAAACTTTGATAAAAACTAAGGCATAAAGTGCGCTGAGTGTGCTATTGGTTTACATTCTATTTATGTTATGTGTGTGTAATCGGCAGAGTTTCTGAGCTTTGACTAGCAAAAAAGTCGCGGATTTTGCTAAAACTTATTGAATTCAACATTATATCTCTGCTACAGCTATATGATATAGTCATTTATAATTATTGGTATTGTTGTAGTATTTTAGGTAGGCATAGTTATTGTAGTACTAGCAAGGTTTTTCTCTCATCAACGATTATCGACAATCCGTACTCTTATATAGAACTTAAACATGTACCTTAAATCCTAAGCGATTCAAGTTAATTCAAAATTCCGTTTTCAAGTTAAACTTCTAGCGGTTGCTTAATTACATATAAATGTGCGTGGGGTCTTGTAAAACTAAAGTTAAAGTCTTCATATCAGCACTGTTAAGTACACAGTTGTAAAGTTTCTGAGTTTATATACAAATGAGTGAATATACCATATTCTAAAAACCCTTTACGTTTCTCTCGATCGATCAACACTTGTTCTTCATCTATTTTGGAGCACATTGTGTGAAACTGTTTTCCCTTATGATCAGCCATAAAGGCCAGGATCAAACCAGCCATTGCTTTCTCAGTCAAGTCAATCCACGTTATACTGGGAAATTGAATCTACGAACGTAAGCATTACCTAAATTCACACAGAGTATCTCCCAGTTAAGAACACAATTCAAATAATATTCATTCATCGGTCATGGGGAACCTCAACTGGCTTCGATGCAGGGCCTTGCCGAAGCAAGGTGAACATTAGTCTGGCTGCTAGATTCTCGAATCTAGTTGGGGGCTATAACCTACTATACTGCTCCGTTTCGAATACAGCTGTTAGAATGTCGTATCTTAGACTTAGACGTACTTGGGTGGCTTCAGATATTCTAAACATCAGTCACCTGATGGCTGGCAGTACAAATAATAGCATGCGGCATTGTGGCGGGAGCGGAGTTGCGTCGGCCCCGCTCCACCGCAGCCTGCTGTTGGTTATGCTGATGCTGATACGGAAGCGGCTGTAGCTGCTGCTGGTTACTACTGCTAGGACTACGACTACGCGGGAGGTAATGACTAGGAGCAAGGCTACTGATGGTGCTGGCCTGCAGTTGCTGAAGGGGCTGTGGCCCCTGGCCCTGCGGCAAGGCCACTACAATGACTGGCACCACCTCCTCGATGGAGGGTTGTTGTTGCTGCGCAACAGCCACGGCGGCAATGGGGGATGTGTGCTGCGGGCTGGGCGTCTGATAGATTTGGTCACCCACCACATATCCATAGAACTTGAGCACGTCGAGCTTGCACATAGGACAAGTTCGGTGCTCGATCAGCCACGGATCGATGCAGTTTTTGTGGAACTCGTGCCTGAAAGGATGTTTTTGGTTAATGTAGCTCTACTAAGAGATATATAGCTAGTCCCTACTTGCAAGGTAATATTCGAATGGTGTCTGTCGGCTTGTAGGCTTCAATACATATAGCACAGCAGTCGCTATCCAAGTCCTTCTCGTCACTGATCTTTCCCGTCTTCGTTGGTATCTTCATGATGGCCTTTTTGGTGACAGAGCATAAATTGCGCTGCGAATTGAAAGGAGGTCATAATATATTTTCAAGAAAAGTTAGTCAGCTCCCTTACCGACTGTTGGTCCTTCGCCTGCATATAGCGGAACCGCTGGATATAGTAGAAAATTAGCCAGACCAGCGAGATAATCATCAGCACAATAAAGGATATGGACACGAAAAGCACTGATGTTCTAAAAACATAAGGATATAATGTTATAAGTTAAATTTGTCTCAAAAGTCCTTAAAGCAGAAAACTTGAAGAGATTTTACTCTGAAAGTTTAGAAGATTTTTAATTTTTTAAACAAAATGGGGGTTTTTCAAATCCCTTTCCTAAAATAAATAAGGTCATAAAAAGCAAACCCAAAAGATATATAATTTCAAAACTTAATATACAGATTATTTACCCTTTAAATACTAACACAAAAAGCTATCCGAAATTAAATTGATGCATTTTTGACTGTGACTTATAAAAAAAGCATATAAATGCACATACAATTCTTGTATTTATTTATTTTATTTTTTTTATTCCCATTATTTTTTACATATTTTACAAATTTACTCTGCTTTAATTGAACTGCTTGGAAACTCTACAAATTTTTCAATATTTTCCCCTTTGTTCCCGACGACCGTGTGCACTGCCATACCGACTACCAATGTACTGCTATACCGACACGTATTCAAGTACAACGTTTGGCCGCAGTGTCGCCGCCAGGGGACGTAGCTCAGTGGTAGAGCGCTCGCTTCGCATGTGAGAAGTCCCGGGTTCAAACCCCGGCGTCTCCATCTGAGCAAGGATTTACTTTTTTAACTAAAAAAAGTTATACTCGAATTTAAATTATAAAATTTATAGTTATTATTTTTAAGCAGTTTCAAATCTTTTGCTTGTCTGACTTTAATTATTATATATGTTTAATAATTCAAAACCCATAGTAAAGAGCATACAAGATTCGGTGAAAAAAATATTTTACTACAGGTAAAACTTCCACTTCCCTTTACATAAAAATTTGGCACTGGATTTGAACAAGGGGACGTAGCTCAGTGGTAGAGCGCTCGCTTCGCATGTGAGAAGTCCCGGGTTCAAACCCCGGCGTCTCCAGTGCGCAAGAATATTCCTTTTTTTTTTTTTTTCTTTTTCATAATTAAACATACTTTGTAAATATTTTCCCAAATATAATAATAATTAGATTTTGTTTTATAAATGCAAGTGTTATTTAAAAAACTCTGTTTGACAGCACTATTTTTGATAGGAATATTATGTGTGATTATTCGCTAGACCAAAATAATTGTAGAATAATTTGAATCAGGATAATTTAAATTTGCAGTTGATGATTATGCCAAATTATCATACATATTGAACAATTACGTTAAACCCACGGGAGTCCATGGGGACGTAGCTCAGTGGTAGAGCGCTCGCTTCGCATGTGAGAAGTCCCGGGTTCAAACCCCGGCGTCTCCATGTCCACAATAGGGAATAATCGAATTTTTGCCTTTTGTTATCTAAAAGGAAAATATTCTTTACTTTCCTAACAAGATAGCCATATCTAACTGATAAGCAAGAATGCTCTACGCAACCCCCAGGCTCATCAAAAATAAAAACAAAATACATAAATTCCATTAAATACATGCATACCAATGGATGAGGGATAATATAATCTTAATTATTTGTATTTGATAACTCACCGATTTAAACTGCTGACGGTACGAACGCCCCGCCTGCCCTCGATGATGGACATTGTCACGTTATAGCCCTGATCGAGCGTCATGGCCAAATCCTGTCCAATATTCTGATAAGTTATGACCGCCGCTATGTTTCCTGCAGAAGTGGTAATTCACTTAATTAGTAGCCCCAGCTAAACCAGCAGGACAATGACTAAACTTACTTGTCTTGCCCTTGATCTGCATCTTCTCTAGCTGCATCACCTGCTTGTCATTGTAGATAATGACTCCGGCGGCGTTCTGTTGGTAGACATGCTTGACCTTTTCCTCGAAGGTGCAGCGTCCACGCCGAACCAAGGCAATCCAGGTCACGCCCTTTTCGGGTGTGGGGGCTCCCATAGTGCCCCTGATGTAGGGCGTGCAGGCAAAATCGTCGTTGACATTGTCCGTGGCGCTGATGTGCACCAAACGCCCGGTGATGTTTAGCACCTTACCCTCGCCGTAGCGAGCCTGCTCCTGCGGAAAGTCCATGCTGCACAAGATGTTGCTGTGGTCCACATATGACCAGTTGAGAAAGGCATAGTTGTAGACGTCCACTGCAATACGGTCCTCGATGCCGGCGAAGCTGAGGGTGCCATTCCCCGGCCTAAAATAGCGCTCCAAGTCCTGGTTGGCGATGGACATAGCAGCCACAAGAGTGGTGGTTGTGGTGGTGGACGTGAGGTGCGGAAGACCGCCGGACAGCAGCACCAGGCAGGCCATCAAAAGCATTTCCCGTAGATACATGACGCGGGCGTGGATGGGGTTATTTCCGACTAATCACAATCCCTCTTTGTCGTGACTGAGCGAGTGTGTTTTTGCACCTGAAACCAATGGGTAATGTGAGTGTTAGCCAAATTATTGGAGGGTTGCAACTATCGCCGCACCGATAAACTTCGGTTCCTATATTCACAAGCCAGTCCGGTAGTCATTTATGAGAGTTTATTTCAATACTTTTATGATGGGGCTGTCTAATCCGATAAGCACCGTATCGCTACTGCGCACCAGCTCTGATAATACACAGCGACAATTATAGTTCCCGCTTACCCTTAGTATGGAATGATAAGGCATTTAAAATATGTTTTCCATATTTAAACTCGTAGTAAATGACATATCCAGGGCCAGAAATGGCACACATATTGCGGTTCTTGAGCTCTCCGAGGTCCGCAAAACCGAACATAAGGCCAGGATGGAGCGTGGGCGAGCGACTGACATTGAAAAGTGGTTCGTTCGTTGGGACATGAAACGCGAATCTGGTTCAGACAGCAAATGACTCTACCTCCACGTCCAAGTCGGAATACAAAGGGGACAATTTGCATATGGATATTCTTTCACTGAAGCCCAGACATGGCCCAAGACACCTACTCAGATTTCACTTTTGGCTCTTCAAGGTACTGTCGTAAATAACATTTTATGCACATTCTGTTTATCATCCATAACTAGAGGAAAGATTAAAAAAGTGCATGTCTGCATGAGCCACTGTAAACAAGAGTGTATACGCGAAACGTGGGTGTGCCGTTGGGGATTCATCCCGAAACTACTTTGATACGGAGCCAATATGTGAGGGACAGACGAGGGAATTGTCCACTAATCGGAACAGCTTAATCATTTGATTGCAGTTTGCTATTGAAATTCCTGGTGCTGACCTTGATGCAAGAATCCAGCGAAGTTAACATCATTATTTAAATTTTTATTTCTTATTTTATTTGTCCGTTGTTCGCGCTTAGGTGTTTTTGTTTACTTTTGAATGGACAATCAATTCGGTGGCGCATGTTGCGGCTATTGCACTTCTGTTTATTTTTAAAATTCCGCTTTTATTATTTTGGCCAATTGCCAGCGTCCAACGAAAAGCCTTTGCATACAAATAAATAAGCCAGAACAGTTCACAATGGAATATATACATACACCCACACACACTTGAGGCGTTTATACTTTTTTTTGTGGGACTCTAGCCATTTCTAATAAATTTCTTTGTTTACTGCTCTCACTCAAGCAGATCCACAGGTGGTGGCTGTAGCTCTTCTGAGTGTATATTTTATATATTTTTATATTGTTCGTAGCTATTACGAGTGCGAATTTCACAAAGAAGAGCACACAAAATAGACGCAGCACATAACATAGAAGACAAAAACTATAAATATAAATAAAGATAGAGCTAAAACAAGAAAGGAAGCTAACTTCGGCACGCCGAAGTTTATATACCCTTGCAGATAGAACTTCTATGAATAAAAAACCATACAATACAAATTATATATCTTTGTGTTAAAAAACAATGAAGTAATACCTGCTTTCATTTCATTCACCTATACATATTATATTTGCAGTTTTACATTCACTGATTTGCATTTTTCCTCCACATCAAACGATCGTTTGTATGGCACCTATATGATATAGTCGTCCGATTTTCATGAAATTTACCACAAAATTTAAGACTTAAATTAAATGCCTATACCTAAAATTTTATGAAAATCAGTTGAAAACTGAAAAGGTTATAATTTTTAATTTTATTAATTTCTCGATCGTTCCTATGGGAGCTATAAGATATAGTAGTCCGATTTTCATAGAATTTTATGCAAAATTGTAGAGTATAGTAAAATGGCTATATCTCAAATTTGATCCAATTCTATTGAAAACTGAAAAAGTTAAAAATTTTTTGTAAAAATTTTCCGATCATTCCTATGGCAGCTATATGATATAGTCGTCCGATCCGGCCCGTTCCGACATATATACGAGTGAGAGTATATAGAAGGCTAACTACAAAGTTTCATTCAGATAGCTTCAAAACTGAGAGACTAGTTTGCGTAGAAACGGACAGACGGACAGACGGACAGAAGGACAGACGGACAGACGGACAGACGGACAGACGGACATGGCTAGATCGACTCGGCTGTTGATCCTGATCAAGAATATATATACTTTATATAGTCGGAGGTGCCTCCTTCACTGCGTTGCAAACTTCTGACTGAAATTATAATACCCTGCAAGGGTATAAAAATAGGCAGACACGACGAGATTTGCATTTTTATTTGTTTCCTTTGCGAAACGTGATCCGCTTAAACGTGTCTCGAGTGATAATCGCATAGTTATATTTTATTTATGTTTATTAGTAGCGGTTGACCAGAGGGTATGGCTTGAGGTAATTGTGTCTAGAAAATACGAAATATTTCTAACAGAGAACGAGGAAATGCAAAGCTAATTAGTTGACTATAATTGTGTATGAATTTACCAGGGGATTGCTTATAAAATGCTTCTAAAAATAGGAATATTTAACAACGTCTGCATATGTATTTAGTAATTTGTCTAATCACAAAGTTTATTTATTATGATAAAAAAAATAGGACGGAAGCGGAATTGAGCAATCTCCATAATATTTCAATACGATTAGATCGGTATTTATGTTCCTTGAATGCCAATTTAAGTTTGGAACTTTTCTTGTTTTGCGACAATGTGTTTGCTTTGGTATAACTAATTTATTTCTTTCAAATAAATCAAACATAATTCTTACGGTATTATGATTGATTTGATTAATGGATTATTGAGAGATTTGCTAGACTAGGCAGACCTACCTATTGTTATTGTTTCAAAGCAACAACAACGGAAGTTTTTCCACATTAGCGCATCTATCCAAATGTAAACAACATTTGATTTAACGTGTCAGTGACTTTGATGCATTTCAATGCACTCTGATGGGTCTGGAGCATTTCGCTAAACTTCAAACCGACTGTACGGTTTACTCTGAATGTGGCATACTTATTACAATGGAAACTCACAACAGGTGCGTGGAATTGTTAGGACAACTGTAATGGCACGGCGATATGAAACTCGTACCGCAACGATTATGGGTTTAATTTATTCAGCCCGATATTGTAGCTGTATTTATTGTTGGGCATACACAATGACTATTACAAAAAAGCAGCAATGATTGTAATTATTGTTGCAAGCGAACAAGAGATGGAGGAGGCATCATGCAAACGCCAAAGAAAAATGGAATGGAACAGCAATTAGCATGTTGAAAGCAGACCGAATTATCCAGGGTTTAATTAAATTTGCGTCATTTAACGTCGCAATTGGAGCAGACCCGCCGCTCAGACTAAACCATATAGAAACTTTCATCGAATTATTCTGGAGAGCTTGATCCATGATCGTGTACTTATTACTTTCAATATGAAACGGTTCTAGTAGTGAAATTCTCAATTTATCCCAGGCAACGTCTATATATACAAAACCAGCAATTGCCTTATCACGGCTGCACGGAAAACAGTTTCCCCGATCTGCTACAGAATAGCGACAGGCAAAATGAGCAAGGTGGTGGGAGGCTGTATATGTTCGCTCTCTAATATGTTTCAAGATGAAAATGATGCAGCCTGTCGGAGTCCGAAGCACACGACACTCCACTTCACCCGCATCTGTGCCTCTGAACAACAAGGGCACCCTGTACTCGGTGACGTTGCTGGCGGTGGCTGCTGCCTCGCTTGTTTGCAGATTGCAACATCTGTGCAAGCGAGAGCAATTTAAAACATACGCCAGCACATGTTGCCACAAACATTCTGATATTCTTTTTTGAACACGAAGGTATGTGTGTATAAATAGTGGTATGCCTGTGTGTGCGGAGCCTCCCACACAACGACGAGGGTCTTAGTCCTCCTCTTTATATGCTTCTAAAAATATTACTCGCCACACATTTTTGACTCCTCGGCGGGATGCTTGAACTTCAATTTGTCGTTCCTCGAGCTCCCGCACATAAATAATTTACCACACTTTCTCCACCTAATTGCTCGAATATTTGTCACTTTGCGTTTAAGTTCTTTCCAGAGCGTTTTTAGAATTTATTTAAGAAAATGTTTTATTGCGCAAGGCGCAAAAAATATTCCTTCGAAGTCTGGGGCAAAAATATAAAAAGGGTAATTATTTAAACGTAATAATACTATAAGGGAAGAGCTCTCGACCAAGAACGCAACGTCTTAAATTGCTTATTTAATTTTGACCCAAGATGAAGTGCCCAAGGCCCAAGGAAAGCAAATAAAGTAATAGTTCAAATGGAGCTGTTGAGAGTTCATCTTGAGTTGCCCGAACATCTTGACTCTTCGAGCCTGTGTGCGACTGATGACCACAATTCATTTTCAGAGAAGTTCAAAGCAACGTCATCGATAGAGTTGCCTCACATTCTCCGGGTCGGGTGGCTGCGCCCCTACCCAGGCAGCTTCTAATTACTTGCCAGCTGTTAAGAGAATTTAGCCATTAAAGAAGCCCCCGTTCTCTCAATTTCCTCACTTTTGCTTTCAATTGTTTCTGCTCAGAGGGAACGGGAGGCTCTTGTCTCTTGGCCGTCTGCCCAATTGGCAGTACTCATTTCCACTTGGCAAGTGCATTTTAATGTCACTCTCGCTGCAAATTATCTTGCTGTCTTCAGGCCTTCATCAGGGCTACACAATCCAACTACCAATCTGCTATTTCCATGTCATCATCGCTTTCGCAAGCCGTAAATGGTCCAAAATGGATTTTGTTCCAAGTGCTAGCGCAAGGGAACTTCAGAGGCATCGCATGGCTCATGCTCTGCTCCGTTACTCAGGGAAAGGACGCCAGAAAAGTAGCACGGGTTAATGAGCCAGATTTCTAAGGCCTTGGCCAACTCATTCGTCTTGGGCATGAATACGTTTCTGTTACATTTTAACTCTTATTGGCATTCTGTGTAGCTTGGGACTGAAGCCAAAAATTACTCTTTAGAATTGTTGCCATAAAACTGCTGCACAGTGGCTGCCAGTCCAGGGACGGGGGAAGGGGAAGCCTTCTTCGGAAGGCATGCTTCTAATAAAATGCATTTGGCTGGCTGGCCGCCTGGCTGCTCGAGTGCAGGTATCAATACAGACACGACCATAAAAATATTAACACCCGCTACTTGGGGGCCACGAGGCTCCCCAGAGTCACGTTTCTGGGCGCTGGAATGGGTGGAAAGGTACAAATAAAGCTGCAATGCACTATCGAGTTGTTATTTCTTTTGTGTTGTGTTTGTCGGGAAGGCAGAGAACATGTGTAAGCCAGCGCCGGCAACGACGTCATAAATCTTTACACACCTTCGCCGTACTGTCCACCCACGGCCTACCAACCTCGTGTCCCCTTGGCCACATGCACCCCTTTCGTTTGGTGCCGGACGGAAGCAGACTTGGGTCGGCATTTTTCTAGCCCCTTTTAGCTCCTTCCTGTTGGCCCCAGTCTACCATTCATTAGCCACTTGAACGTCAGCAGTGTTAAAACGTGATTTCCGCTATTTGCTGCTGGCACTGGCTTTGTACAACTATAATTGTTTAGACCGATATCGGTTTGTTTGGTGTTTAATTTGGCCCAGAAGAGCACTACTTGGGCGAGATTTCTCAGTGACTGAGATGTGTTCTGTTTAAATTTGTACTAAAAGTATCTATATTTATTATACCCTTGCAGGGTATTATAATTTCAGTCAGAAGTTTGCAACGCATTGAAGGAGGCACCTCCGACTATATAAAGTATATATATTCTTGATCAGGATCAACAGCCGAGTCGATCTAGCCATGTCCGTCTGTCCGTCTGTCCGTCTGTCCGTCTGTCCTTCTGTCCGTCTGTCCGTTTCTACGCAAACTAGTCTCTCAGTTTTGAAGCTATCTCAATGAAACTTTGTAGTTAGTCTTTTATATACTCTCACTCGTATATATGTCGGAACGGGCCGGATCGGACGACTATATCATATAGCTGCAATAGGAATGATCGGAAAATTTTTACAAAAAAAATTATAGCATTTTCAGTTTTCAACAGAATTTGATCAAATTTGATATATAGCCATTTTATTATACTCTACAATTTTGTGTAAAATTTTATGAAAATCGGACTACTATATAATTGCCAGAGAAACGGTTGTTAAATGTAGAGGATCAGTAAGTATCTGTCAACAGTAAGTTCCTATGAACAGTAAGTAACTATGATCCGTAAATATCAATGAACATTAAGTAACAATGTTTAGTTAGAATCTATAACCAGTAAATATGTATGATCAGTTACTAACTTTGAACGCTAATAAACATATATATATTTATATTGTATTAATTCCTAGTGATCAAATTTTTGTTATGATGAACTGAAATTATGTAAATGTCCGTCGTTGTTTTTGTTGTTACTTACACTCTCTCTGCAGGCTTGGTGGAGTACCAGATACAAGGCAACGGTGTTGGCAAACTTTCATTTAACACAGATTTTATAATAGTCAAAGGTTGAATTTAAACTCAAATTTAATTAAAATTAAACTGAACAAGAAGAAGAACAAAAATAATTGTGTTTGCTACGGTGCTTAAGTACACCGGTTGAGAATCGCAGAGGAGGGCACTTTTTTGAGAGAGAGTGAATGCGAGGAAAGTATTATTTTTAAGAGAGAGAGTAAAAGAGAGGCAGACACAATATTGTTTTTTGAGAAGCGTAGGGAAGGTCTCATTGTTTATTTTTGAAGAATGAGAATTTGAGTTAGTAAACAAATGTGATAAGTCCTTAAAATTGATCAAAAATATAACATATTAAAACTCAAATTTAATTAAAAACTTTAAACTGAACAAGAAGAAGAACAAAAATAATTGCGTTTGCTACGGTGCTTAAGTACACTGGTTGAGAATCGCAGAGGAGGGCACTTTTTTGAGATTGAGTGAAAGCGAAGAAAGTATTATATTTGAGAGAGAGTAAATGAGAGGCAAACACAATTTAGTTTTTTGAGAAGCGTAGGGAAGGTCTCATTGTCTCATTGGAAACATTAAATGTAAAGGTGAATACAATCAAAGCAGGCATTTCTTTATTGTTTTTTAACACAAATATATATAATTTATATTGTATGGATTCCTAGTCATAGAAGTTCTATCTGCAAGGGTATATAAACTTTGGCGTGCCGAAGTTAGCTTCCTTTCTTGTTTTTATTTATATTTATTTATATTTGATTTGCTAAGGTTATATCGTAAGTGGGGATCACTGCCTGAGACAAAATAAGAATAATATGAGATATTGTTTAGGAAACAAATACATCAAAATTTGTAATTTCTATACTAAGCCCAGATACTTAATCATCATCTTTATCGTTTATATAGTAACATTCATTTAACTGCTTGTAACTCGTATTCTAGGATGCAAACTGACTTCCTTTGTTTACATTTAATAGCAATGTGTGTAAGATCAACAGGTCCCTTTATTTGTATTGTCAGTGCCCTGACTCTGTGTGTGTATATGTATGTGTCTCTTCCATCCTCTATTCGCAGAATTAGCGCCATCTTTTGCCCGTCTCGTGGTTTTTGCGTATTGGAATTCCAATAGAAGCTGAAGATTTATCTCTTATAGAGTGATATCCATTAGTTTGTAACTGCTTGTAACTTTAATTCCTTTGCAAGCTGATTTGATTTGGTTACCTTAAATTAGGAATGTGTGTAAGATCAACAGGTCCCTTTGTTTGTATTGTCTGTGCCGTGTCTCTATGTGTGTATATGTATGTATGTGTCTCCTCCCTCCTGTATTCGCAGAATAAGCGCCATCTTTCGCCTGTCTCGTGGTTTTCCACTTGCCGTTTTTTAACTATCGATAGTGAAAGCTCACCAAGTAGGAAAAGCTGACTCGATATTGTCATTAATCAGTAAATTGACATCTCTAAATTCGGACATTTTGTCCTGATCGTGAAAAAATTATGTGTTCTGTGTTTTTCGATGTAAACTGCATATGTGTTTTTAAGTGCGCGAGTTCGTTTGGTGTGTGTTGTTGTTGTTGTTTGCGTGCGGACTGCTGCACAATATTGATTTGTATAGTTCGCCCGGGTATTTAATCATTCTCAGGAGGAAGCCCCAGTTGGTCTGCAAACCAGCCACTCCCCCTCCCCCGCTTCCTAACGTTTTCGTAAATACGTATTGGAATCCAATAAGAGGTGCAGATTTACGTTTTATAGAGTGATATCCATTTATTTGTAACTGCTTGTAACTCTAATTCCTTTGCAAACTGATTTGATCTGTTTACCTTAAATTAGGAATGTGTGTAAGATCAACTGGTCCCTTTGTTTGGATTGTCTGTGCCGTGTCTCTATGTGTGTATATGTATGTATGTGTCTCCTCCCTCCTCTATTCGCTGAATAAGCGCCATCTTTCGCCCGTCTCATGGTTTTCCACTGGCCGTTTTTTAACTATCGATAGTGAAAGCTCACCAAGTAGGAAAAGCTGACCCGATATTGTCATTAATCAGTAAATTGACATCTCTAAATTCAGACATTTTGTCCTGATCGTGAAAAAATTATGTGTTCTGTGTTTTTCGATGTACAGTATGTGTTTTTAAGTGCGCGAGTTTGTTTGGTGTGTGTTGTTGTTGTTGTTTGCGTGCGGACTGCTGCACAATATTGATTTGTATAGTTCGCCCGGGTATTTAATCATTCTCAGGAGGAAGCCCCAGTTGGTCTGCAAACTAGTCCCTCCCCCTCCCCCGCGTCCTACCGATTCCGCCAATGTGACATTTATAATATTATTAAATTCCAGACTTGTGTCTACGGTTTATTTACCTTGCCTCTGTGTGTATGTGTATGTGTGTCCTCACTCCCCCTTGCCAGGAATTGGCAATTGTCTTTGCATTGCCTCTGTGTGGATGTATATGTGTCTCCACCCTCCTCACTCTCCCTTGCCAGGAATTGGTGGGATTTTTTGTCCGTCTCGTGGTTTTGAACTGTTTTATAATTCGCACTTTGTTTTTGTTCGTTTTTAGCTGTTGATGTTGTTATTGTTCGCCAATCTCTAATTCTGGGATGCAAACTGACGGCTTTACCTACAATTAATAAGCGAGGTGAGTAAGGCCAACTTTTTGGTGGGAACTGATTCGTGCGTGGGGGACAACTTGACTTCGTTGTTCTTTTGCGAGAAGAGAACCGAAGTTCCTCGCATAGTTTTTCCCGAAATGTCTATTAAGCCGACGCGCTGTCTGGGCGGGAAGACCTACTCCCACAATCAATACTAATTTACCTTCTTGGCGCGCTGCTTTCCAGAGGAAGAAACAACAAAGGGAGATAAATATTTTGTTAGGCCAGACTAGAATATTATTATGTACGGATCTACAGATTTTAATGGGCTGTCTTGGGAAAACAGAGACATATATACAGGACCAAGGCGAAAGGGGAACTGGCGTCGGGGCGCCCACGGATAGTTTCCAGACAACGCTTAACCATTTGCTGCCTTAATTAACTTGGCGCTCTTGCTGGGACTTGGATACGGCGGGATCTGCATGCACGGGACAGCTTTCCGAATTAAAATTATCGCTTTTTGGCTTTATTATGAATTTTTTAAAATTTGATTTTTAGGCAAAATTGGCGTAAATATAGATAAAATATGGTATTATAATTTTAGTTAGAAGCTTATAAAGCAGTGAAGGAATCATTTCCGACCCTATAAATCATATATATTCTTGATCAGCGCCAACAGCTGAGTCGATCTAGGCATGTCCGGAAAAAATTAATATCTTTAAAATTTTTCCAGTTTTTGCAAAAGAAGATAAGATTAAATTGTCAAAAATTGGCAAAAAATTCAATTTTCTTAAATTTTAAACTGAGTATGCAGATTTATTAACCTAATAAAAACTAGCATAGGAACGCTTTCCGAATTGAAATCAATGCATTTTTGGCGTAGTTACGGGTTTTTTCCAATTTGATTTTTACAAAAAATTGGCATAAAAATATAAAAAATACCTACTCAAAGAATGGGATTATAATTTCAGTCATTTCCATTTACATACATTTTTCTTGGAGTATGCAGATTTGTTAACGTGATAAAAACTGGCACGGGACAGCTTTCCGAATTAAAATTAACGCTTATTTGGCTTTGTTATGAATTTTTTTAAATTTGATTTTTAGGAAAAATTGGCGTAAATATAGATTAAATATGGTATTATAATTTTAGTCAGAAGCTTATAAAGCAGTGAAGGAATCATTTCCGACCCTATAAATCATATATATTCTTGATCAGCGCCAACAGCTGAGTCGATCTAGGCATGTCCGGAAAAAATTAATATCTGTAAAATTTTTCCAGGTTTTGCAAAAGAAGATAAGATTAAAATTGTCAAAAATTGGCAAAAAATTCAATTTTCTTAAATTTAAAACTGAGTATGCAGATTTATTAACCTAATAAAAACTAGCATAGGAACGCTTTCCGAATTGAAATCAATGCATTTTTGGCGTATTTACGGGTTTTCTCTAATTTGATTTTTACAAAAAATTGGCATAAAAATATAAAAAATACCTACTCAAAGAATGGGATTATAATTTCAGTCATTTCCATTTACATACATTTTTCTTTGAATATGTCGATTTGTAAACGTGGTAAACACTAACACGGGACAGCTTTCCGAATTAAAATTAACGCTTTTTTGGCTTTGTTATGAATTTTTTTAAATTTGATTTTTAGGAAAAATTGGCGTAAATATAGATAAAATATGGTATTATAATTTTAGTCAGAAGCTTATAAAAGAGTGAAGGAATCATTTCCGACCCTATAAATTATATATATTCTTGATCAGCGCCAACAGATGAGTCGATCTAGGCATGTCCGGAAAAAATTAATATCTTTAAAATTTTTCCAGTTTTTGCAAAAAAAGATAAGATTAAAATTGTCAAAAATTGGCAAAAAATTCAATTTTCTTAAATTTAAAACTGAGTATGCAGATTTATTAACCTAATAAAAACTAGCATAGGAACGCTTTCCGAATTGAAATCAATGCATTTTTGGCGTAGTTACGGGTTTTTTCTAATTTGATTTTTACAAAAAATTGGCATAAAAATATAAAAAATACCTACTCAAAGAATGGGATTATAATTTCAGTCATTTCCATTTACATAAATTTTTCTTTGAGTATGTCGATTTGTAAACGTGGTAAACATTAACACGGGACAGCTTTCCGAATTAAAATTAACGCTTTTTTCGCTTTGTAATGAATTTTTTAAAATTTGATTTTTAGGAAAAATTGGCGTAAATATAGATAAAATATGGTATTATAATTTTAGTCAGAAGCTTATAAAGCAGTGAAGGAATCATTTCCGACCCTATAAATTATATATATTCTTGATCAGCGCCAACAGCTGAGTCGATCTAGGCATGTCCGGAAAAAATTAATATCTTTAAAATTTTTCCAGTTTTTGCAAAAGAAGATAAGATTAAAATTGTCAAAAATTGGCAAAAAATTCAATTTTCTTAAATTTAAAACTGAGTATGCAGATTTATTAACCTATAATACATTTTTCTTTGAGAATACAGATTTGTTAACGTGATAAAAACTGGCACGGGACAGCTTTCCGAATTAAAATTAACGCTTTTTTGGCTTTGTTATGAATTTTTTAAAATTTTGTTTTTAGGAAAAATTGGCGTAAATATGATATATATAAAATATGGTATTATAATCTTTATCGTTTATAGAGTAAAATTCATTTAACTGTTTTTAACTTATATTCTAAGATGCAAACTGACTTGCTTTGCTTACATTTAATAGCAATATGTGTAAGATCAACAAGTCCTTTTATTTGTATTTTCTGTGCCGTGCCCCTGTGTGTGTATATGTATGTATGTGTCTCCTCCCTCATCTATTCGCAGAATTAGCGCCATCTTTTGCCCGTCTCGTGGTTTTGACTTGCTTTGTTTACATTCAATAGCAAGGTGTGTAAGATCAACAGGTCCCTTTATTCGTATTTTCTGTGTCCTGTCCCTGTGTGTATTTATGTATGTGTCTCCTCCCTCATCTATTCGCAGAATTAGCGCCATCTTTTGCCCATCATTAATCAGTAAATTGACATCTCTAAATTCGGACATTTTGTCCTGATCGTGAAAAAATTATGTGTTCTGTGTTTTTCGATGTAAACTGCATATGTGTTTTTAAGTGCGCGAGTTCGTTTGGTGTGTGTTGTTGTTGTTGTTTGCGTGCGGACTGCTGCACAATATTGATTTGTATAGTTCGCCCGGGTATTTAATCATTCTCAGGAGGAAGCCCCAGTTGGTCTGCAAACTAGTCCCTCCCCCTCCCCCGCGTCCTACCGATTCCGCCAATGTGACATTTATAATATTATTAAATTCCAGACTTGTGTCTACGGTTTCTTTACCTTGCCTCTGTGTGTATGTGTATGTGTGTCCTCACTCCCCCTTGCCAGGAATTGGCAATTGTCTTTGCATTGCCTCTGTGTGGATGTATATGTGTCTCCACCCTCCTCACTCTCCCTTGCCAGGAATTGGTGGGATTTTTTGTCCGTCTCGTGGTTTTGCACTGTACGTTTTGATTAATTCGCATTTTGTTTTGTTTTCCATTTGTAGCTGCTTGTTCCTCTAACTCTGGGATGCAAACTGACTTAACCTACATACATATGTATGTACATATGTATAATAAGCAAGGTGGGTAAGATCGACTGGTAATTTTTTTCGCTGTGTGTGCGTATATGTCTCTCCTGTCTTCTCACTCCTCCCTTCACTGTCTCTTCCATTCGCAGTTTTCGCGACATTTTGTGTCCGTTTCGTGGTTTTGAACTGTTTTATAATTCGCACTTTGTTTTTGTTCGTTTTTAGCTGTTGATGTTGTTATTGTTCGCCAATCTCTAATTCTGGGATGCAAACTGACGGCTTTACCTACAATTAATAAGCGAGGTGAGTAAGGCCAACTTTTTGGTGGGAACTGATTCGTGCGTGGGGGACAACTTGACTTCGTTGTTCTTTTGCGAGAAGAGAACCGAAGTTCCTCGCATAGTTTTTCCCGAAATGTCTATTAAGCCGACGCGCTGTCTGGGCGGGAAGACCTACTCCCACAATCAATACTAATTTACCTTCTTGGCGCGCTGCTTTCCAGAGGAAGAAACAACAAAGGGAGATAAATATTTTGTTAGGCCAGACTAGAATATTATTATGTACGGATCTACAGATTTTAATGGGCTGTCTTGGGAAAACAGAGACATATATACAGGACCAAGGCGAAAGGGGGAACTGGCGTCGGGGCGCCCACGGATAGTTTCCAGACAACGCTTAACCATTTGCTGCCTTAATTAACTTGGCGCTCTTGCTGGGACTTGGATACGGCGGGATCCCAACGCAAACAACAACCATGACGACTGCAGGAACGTTTCACAGTTGGTCTCTGCATGCAATTGCATCTCCTGCAGCGCTTGTGTCTTTTAGAGGCTAGGGTTGGGGTGTCGAAAGTGACGCACTCCAGGTGGTTACCTTCTATTCTTGACTGGAGGCGTTTTTCACGCATAGTGAGTCCCGGTCCAAGGCGTCATACCATGTATATATGTTCTAATAGGACAAGTAAGCGCACGGCGAGGTGCTTTAGTTCTCCCTTAAAAATGTGATTGATGATTCATATAGGTATATACATATGTATATTCAGAGTCCTCATTAAGGCGTGGGGTGAAGTTATATATGTAGAAGTGGCAAGTACACCTTACAGGCAGTCCCATTGATACTGACTTAATTGACTTATCTCCTTATCAATCTTCTTATCTTCTGATCAAGAATATATATGATTTATAGGGTCGGAAATGACTCCTTCACAGCGTTACAAGCTTCTGACCAAAACAATAATACTATATTTGAGTCGATATTATTTATATTTTTAATGAGAATTTGTTCAACGAATCATAGTTGAAAATCTCATAACTAAGCCAAAAAAGACTTAATTTTAATTCTTCTTCTTCATACTTCATTTAAAATGTAAAAATAGACCATTTTGCCAATTTTGACCATTTTAACTATGTCATTTATAAAATTAAAAAAAAAAAATTATCATAAATTTAAAATTTTTCCTACAGGCCTAAAAAGATTTGCCTTTAGAATTCAAATCAATGCATTTTTGGCGTAGTTACGGGTTTTTTCCAATTTGATTTTTACGAAAAATTGGCATAAAAATTTAAAAAATACCTACTCAAAGAATGGGATTATAATTTCAGTCATTTCCACTAAATAAATTTTTCTTTGAGTATGCAGATTTGTTAACGTGATAAAAACTGGCACGGGACAGCTTTCCGAATTAAAATTAACGCTTTTTTGGCTTTGTTATGAATTTTTTTAAATTTGGTTTTTAGGAAAAATTGGCGTAAATATAGATAAAATATGGTATTATAATTTTAGTCAGAAGCTTATAAAGCAGTGAAGGAATCATATCCGACCCTATAAATCATATATATTCTTGATCAGCGCCAACAGCTGAGTCGATCTAGGCATGTCCGGAAAAAATTAATATCTTTAAAATTTTTCCAGTTTTTGCAAAGATAAGATTAAAATTGTCAAAAAATTCAATTTTCTTAAATTTAAAACTGAGTATGCAGATTTATTAACCTAATAAAAACTAGCATAGGAACGCTTTCCGAATTGAAAATCAATGCATTTTTGGCGTAGTTACGGGTTTTTTCCAATTTGATTTTTACAAAAAATTGGCATAAAATATAAAAAATACCTACTCAAAGAATGGGATTATAATTTCAGTTATTTCTATTTACAAAACTTTTTTTTGAGTATGTAGATTTGTTAACGTGATAAAAACTAGCACGGGACAGCTTTCCGAATTAAAATTAACGCTTTTTTGGCTTTGTTATGAATTTTTTAAAATTTGATTTTTAGGAATAATTGGCGTAAATATAGATAAAATATGGTATTATAATTTTAGTCAGAAGCTTATAAAGCAGTGAAGGAATCATATCCGACCCTATAAATCATATATATTCTTGATCAGCGCCAACAGCTGAGTCGATCTAGGCATGTCCGGAAAAAATTAATATCTTTAAAATTTTTCCAGTTTTTGCAAAGATAAGATTAAAATTGTCAAAAATTGGCAAAAAATTCAATTTTCTAAAATTTAAAACTGAGTATGCAGACTTATTAACTTAATAAAACTAGCATAGGAACGCTTTCCGAATTGTTGGTTACGGGTTTTTTTCCAATTTGATTTTTAGGAAAAATTGTTCTGAAATGACTCCTTCCTTCTGACTAAAACAGTAATACCATTTTTTGATTCGTTATTATTTATATTTTTAATGCTAATTTGTTCAACAAATCAAAGTTGAAAAAATCTCATAACTAAGCCCAAAAAGCATTAATTTTAATTCGGAAGGGTGTCTCATGCCCTCAAAGCGAATTGTATACGGCGAAGAGAAGAGTGTCGTGGATTTTTAATTTTCGTGTTTCAAATATATATTTTTCCCCAATCATTTTGTCCTGTATCTCTAGAACTATTTACTATTCGGCTCTTGGGCACTTGTGACTGTTGGCTGATAGTCTAAAGAGCCTTATGGAAGCGTTTAAAAAAAGTAATTATGAACTCGAGGGGACAATTAAAAGCTATTCTCTCCACACACGTTCGATAAACTGGCACCAGCTGTGCAAATGCGGGGACAACTGACTTCGGACCGAGTCACTGGCCTAGGACAGACTGCGTTAGACGAAGCTATTTGGACGACGAACTTGCTAACACTTTTCGCCAGCCACGGCGCTTGGCTCAGTTCCCTTCCCCAGCACGCGTTTCTAATTTGTCTGCCAAAAGTGTTGTCGTCGGGTCGTTTGACAGTGATAACTGCTAAGTATATTCTTTGTCTGCTTTTCAAACTGGACACATATCATCAGGTTTGAGACACTCGAATTTACTGTTGTACATATACGAATATAAATAATAGCGTTAATAATATCTGTATTATTTACGCTATTATTTATATTCGTATATGTTGATAGAAGATGGAAGGCCATAGAAATGTGGTTCATGCGGTTTGTTAACTTGTCGCTCGAGGCGTTTGAACTTTTAACGCTTTCCACGCTTTATTCGCATTCACATTCGCGTTCCCATTTTCTTGTTCTCTGTCTAAAGTTCATTGTTAAATCGCTTTCCCTCTCAGCTTTGTTCTTTGTCCATGTTCGGGCCAGTTTTAGCTCAGTGATTCTACTCTGGTTTGTACTCGGCTTTGTAGCCGAAACCTCGACGGGAATAGTCGAAAACAAAGCCACATTAAAGTCGACTTGCCATGATTTGTGGCGTTAGAGGAAAAGCAATAAATGTATCCAGATGCGGAACTTTACATTTATTTTGACCCTAAGTATTATCCAGTACTCTACTTTCTCCCCATATCGGGTTAATAATTCTCCGCAATTCTCCTTGAGGCTTGCTGCTTTTCACTTTCATTTGACGAAAGCGCGTGGATGGATAAACGGTTATTTAATGAGTGACAGCAATCGGTCGGCAATTATGCCATAAATGTTTGCCAATTAACATCATTTGCACTTCATCGGGCTTGTGGGAGTCTCAAGCTAAAATTTCTCACTTCTTTTTCGCCCCCAGGTAACTCTGTCACTCCAAGACAGGGCCCTTAGCCCGGACTGGTTATTGTTCAAGTTAGGAGACTTCCTGAGTAAACTCTTTTGGAAGCTAAAGTTTGGGTAACGACTGTAAAAAATCGCCCCTAATTGCTGTTATTAGCTTAATTTTGATGTGGAGTAAGCATTGGTTTACTTTGCACATATTTTTTATCGTCGCGACGCCTGTTTAGGCCTAATGAGTCACTGGCATAATCTGTAATTTTTGTATTTCTCTTTCGCGACATGTAGCACTCAGAGTGCCGTTAGGAAAGTCGATGATTAATGCCGAGCAAAGCGCCAGCTGATTTCACTGGATATTTGCGTGATAATTATCCGCAAAAGACTAGATCTAGAGGTCAGGGAACTGTGGGCCAAGTGTTTTGGCAATTGGTATTCAGTACGGCTGTTCTTCCAATTGGCAACTAGAGACAGAGATCTTCTAGGAGAAATCTGGCTTAGCTAGTCGACTTCCACTGTCCCCTACATGATTGTTTGACTGTAAAGGTCTTGTGCCGAAAACTTCTACGCTTATAATAAAACGTGTTTAAAGCTTAGCTCAAAAACTAACCGGTTATGTAATGCACTTTGGTTGAGAAAAAATCTCGGCTCAATGACATTTGCACCCTCTGTCAGGGCCAGCAGCAACGGCCCTTGCCACGATCATAAATCAAATTTCAGGCACAATCAATGCAGACTTCGGCCTAAAGCAACGCGTCGCTTTAAGTGCCATCGAAAGCACACTCTTGAGGGCCAAACAGATCTTAGGGCCGAGAAAAGTTGTGATTGGCGCCAGTCAGATACCAGCTGGGTAAACCTTTTGGAGCAAATTAAGAAATATATTTATTTGGGATTTGTTTACGATGCGATACCAGATGTAAGTGCCTGGGACTGCCCCTGCTGAATCTGAAAAGCAATTAGCAGAAAGTCCCAGGCTGATTCCACTCAATTTCGCGCAGTTATTGAACTAATGCAATAAACAATTTACGTTCGTTAACAGTTTATTAGAATGAACCGGTCGCAACTTGATTTTTTGTTCGTCTCGCTTTGGGACATTTTCACGCTTAAAAACTCGGATGACAACAAAGCTGTATTATTTAATCATTAATAAAGCAGAACGTGACTGCGACGTTGCCCACTTGCTAGTGCCAATTCGCCGACTACTTCAGGTTCCAATAAGGAAGCTGCTTGCTTACCAGTTCTCAGCCGGTCAGATCTCTAGCAGTTCGACGCGTGCCTTGTGCCTTTCACTGGCATTGGGTGGGTGACGACGGAATTCTAGTTAAAAAGTTCCTGTATCAATTAAGTCACTAGGGGTCAGGGATCCTCGAATCGGAAGTCTTTATATTGTATTTTCTTTGGGCAAGCCACTTCCCCTCGCCTTGCCCTCGAGATTTGAATTGTTTTCTGTTGTGCTGTTAAAACCTGACCTTACTACTTGCTTTATAACTTCACCCAAGCATGTGCAGATTAAAGCGCTTTTTTTTTAGCGATGTGCAAACGCATTACCCTCGCAGGGAAGGGAGCGCAGTGCCCGGCGAGGGACCACATGAAACCAATTACCGGGACATGCAAGCTCTTGCGAGGGACATCGCGATTAATGTAATTAAGAATTCACATACACACGTGTGATTTAATGTGGAATCGCCCCAGGCACCAGGGTGGAAACATTTTCCCACTATGCTGCAGCTGAAGCTGGAGCTCCACGATAACTCAAGCACTTTGTGGCGATTAAAAAGTTGGGCAGATTTCCCAGGACAGTAGGAAAATCGAGGCTGTGGGCAAATAGATAAGGTAGACAAGTGACACAAGCAAGAAGTGGCGGGATGTATGTAAGAATGTAAGAAAGATGGTAAAATGTCCTGACGAACGATAAATATATTGATTGTTCTCTTATGTTGCCGGGCTGAGTAATTACCAGTCGAGGCTGTGCATCTTGTCAGAGCCCAGAGAAAGCAAGAGAGAGGGAAAGTGCTGCCTGCCTTGAATAGCAAACTTCACTGGTCTGCAAAGATCCATTTGAAACTCGGGAACGATTTAATTCTTTACTCTTAATTCCCCAGATGATTGCCACCAGAGTTCAATGCACTTGCAGACCAAGGCGAAGCCTATCCGAGTTGGTCGTGTGGTATGGGTTTTGTGGGGATGATGGGAAAACAACGGGCGATAAACATTGAAAAACTTCGTATACAAACAGAGCGAGATATCAGCGACAAAGGAACGGCGGCCCCAAAATATCGGCATTGGCTAATTGGGAGTACGACGTTAAATTACAGATTAATTTTTACGGCTTCGGTCCATGTCGACGTCGGTGCAAAAAAGACTGAGACAGAGGGAATTTATAAATGTTTGCAGATGGTTTGCCAATCTGCAGGTAACACAATGCGGAAGCATTGTCATTTCACTTTTCCTCGCTGCTCCATGCATATTTACATTGCGACATTTCCCTTCATTTCGCATGCGGCTTTCGCCTTTCCACCGGCGGTATTGCACACAGCAAACAAGTTTGTTTTTGTATCTATGATAAAAGCATCCGCCTCAGATGTTGGTCAAGAACATTATTTTTGAGTGACCCACTTAGACAGGCTTTTGGGGGAGTAGGGGAGCCACAGTGCAAGCCTTTTACTGATACCGAGAAGCACCCAAAGCTTTGGAAAAATGATGGAGGGATTTCGACATCCTTAAGTTCAAGTTATATGCATAATCATTGAGCTTGTTTCAACTCCTATCTAACATAGACGTACCCAATGCAATTGCTGTGTGCTGTTCTTTTCAAATGAGAAACTCGTTTTCCACGTCGCTTTTCATTTGCCTCATTAGTCTGGTTTACGGAGCTATCGGGGAGCTTGCGGGTTGGCTGCTGGTGTAGTGCAGCCAAGTCCGAAGATATACATACAAGCGACACAGTTCGTTGCCAAAAATGCAGCTTTAACAATAGACAGTGACAACAATAACAATAACAGTGAGAGAAGCAACAAACATCAGCCAAATGGAAGCGTGAATTCTGGTTGAAAGCAACTGCACATTGAAAGAGAGCCGAGGAGGTCCTCGCGCCTGCGCGAGCCATCCCTCATTTCTCCCTCAACATCACGTTGTTTTTGTTTTCGTTGACATCCAGAGATTGGAGACTCACAGAAAATCCAGCAGAAATATTTGCTGCCCTCTAGACTTGGTTGCCGATTTCCCTTTTCGCCATATGGCAGTGACTCTCGCAGGACTGCTGAAGGGGGACCATCGTCCGAATGAACTTAACACCGGGAGGAGTAATTGGCAATAGGCATTGACTGCATTTCAGCGAGATCTTCCTTGTCCTCTTTGCTTTCCAATTAGAACCAAGTTCGAGTCGCTCAAGGAGTTTTCCGATTTGCTGGCGGACGGACTCCTTTATGCCCTTATTCGACGAAGTGCGATGAAGGAGCGGCAGCCCAGCTCTGGGGCCACTGCTCTCGTGCGTTTTTATTGATTTTTCCCAGGTCCTTTTCCCTGCTCACTGCTCGGTTGGTCTACGACTGCTATAATGCCGTAGCTCCGTTGCCGGGAGAACTATTCGTGCTGCTCTAATGGAAAAGGAACCTGTACTTTATGAAGGAACCTATTTTTCAGGGTCTAGCCCTATGTCTTTAACTCGATATAAATTTAATTGGGAGAGATGGGAAGAGGCTCCAAGAGGTCTGTTTACCTGTTGCATAAATTACCAAATAAATCTAATTGATGCAAAACAAATACTCCCTGTCGTATTTGCCGCCACTATTTGCTTTTCTGTTTTTGTTTGATTTTCTACTCCCTGGCTTTGAACTCTCGTGCGAATCCAGAAAGTGCGTTGTCAATGTTATCAGTCTGCGCCAACAAACACAAGTAGTCGCCCTCGGCTTGCCATTTTGTTTCAGATAAACAGAACGAACTCTTGACGAAATAACGATTTCGTAGAAACAGTAATTAACTTACCTGACGACTACACGAGAAAATGTTCAATATTTGTTGAGAAAAACACGGGGATTTTCAGAATTTCAGAACTGTTGTCGCTGGCGGCTGCTGAAGAAATTTATTCAACGCTTGGGATATTCGCGGTTGTTGCTTTTGTTGCCCCCACAGCTGTTTGTGCCCCCCACTCACACACGCACAACATAAATAAACAACGAATACTTTCTTCGTTACGCTGCGATCGAAATATATATTTGTGCTTCTTTATTTCTTAAATTCTGGGCGCATTTTCGTAATAATTTCTGCTGCTCTTTTATCTATTCTTTTCTGTTTGTGTTGGAATATTTGCAGGTATTTATATTTCTCTCGCGAGATACGCCGCTGCCTGTGCAGTTTTCTCTAGATATATTTTCCTCAGTCAAACTGCAGCAGACGCGGGTTTTCAGTTCCGATACTATTATTTATTCACTAAACAAACTGATTAACGAAAGCAATTATTACAGATCCGCAGATACGCGCCGCTCGAGCGCGGTTGCCAGCCGACGACGGAGATATCCAGTACCAACTCGCTGCAGGTACGAGAAAAGACTGATTCCGCCGGACCGAGAATTCAGAGGGAGAGCCGTTCGCCGCGCGTTTCAAACGAGAAAGACAACTAATTTTGGGTAGTCGACCTTTGTACACCCTTGTAGGCAATACATATTGCTGGTTGTAAATAACAATTTATATACTACACATATATATATTGCCATATAGCATAGGGCCGCTATCAATATATATGGCTTCATTTATAAATGGTAAGCAAATAAAATACATATATTATATATTAATATTATTAAAAAAAGTTTTCATTTTTATTGTCGTTTTAGATTTCCGATCGTTCTCCTGCGGCAGCTCCTAACACATGGAAACTGTAGTCTGCAAAAGGACAAATGCATACTTCGAAATGTAAGTATACTCCTTAAAAATGCTTACTAAGTGTTTCATAAGTCTAGTTACATATGTAGAAGTGGAAATGAAAGAAGAATGCATACATATACTTATTAGATCGAAGCCACTTATTCACTGTGTTGCTAGTTCCTGATTAAAAAAAATAGTCTTTGCTAGGGTATCACGACGCACGCGTACTAACAGAGAGTATTTCGCCGCAGAGCGCGCTCTGTCACAGCCACCACCAGCTGAGTGCAGTGGAAACAAGAAAACAAAGTCGAGTTCGACTAGTCGGGTAGTATTGATACCCAGTAGTTTAGCATAGAGACAGGCCTCTTTCAACACACCCACATTACACTACACCCACATTAACGTATAAAGTACGAAAGGATTTTCAATGCTAAAACAATTTGAAATTTAGAGTTGGGGGTTTCTAAAGACACGAACTCAACATCCCATTGAACCCGGGTCGTAGCGGGTATTAGAATGTCTTCTCGTCTAGGAACACTTCCACTGAGGGCTTAGCCGGGTATTTTTAGAACTCGGCGCCCTGGCACAGAGCAGCAGCGATGTACATGTCACATGCCCGCGCCTATGTCCATGCACTTTCTTCGTCTTGGCCGCCTGATTCGGCAATGTGACCATCTCTGGGTCATTTGGCCACCTAATTGCTCCAGGTTAGACGATGCCGACTTGGATTTGGGTAATGATTTCAGCGACTCTTCACATTTTCCATATATGTGTATATGTGTGCAGTTTCTCTGCTGAACCTTCTCAGGTAGACCCAAGTTGAAATCAAAACAACGCGAAGTCAGCACGTGAAGATAATCTTAGTCATTGGTGATAATGCGTCTCGGTATAATATTGTCAGACAGCGCAGCGTGACGCAATGTGAGGCAAGACTCGCGACTTTTATCAGGCGGATATTTGGGAACTTCTCAATGTGAAATACATTAAAACTGTTTGATATTTAAAATGGGGATGATAAAGTCAAGGCCACATCCCATTCGCATTTTTTTTCTTCATTTACATGTTTTATACAGTCAATGTAAGGGGTTCTTCTGTAGCACAAGCTAGCATTCCTCCTCTAAGTTGTACTTACTTAATTCTCAAAAGCTAACTGCAAGGTCGAAAGGCTAAACAATGCTTTGGCGCGAGATCTAATTATTCATTGAGAGTGTCTTGGGTTCAGTGACCAATGCTATAGAGCAGCAGCAACAATAATAAGATTGCAGAGTGCATTAGCATGCGAAAAGTTGCGATAAAGTCCCGACTGAATGGACTCTCAACCTTGTGGACTAGCGATAAGGATGTCCCGTAATTTTGCGAATTTAAATCGTGTCGTATGGTTAATCATACTATTTGTTTTTGTTTTCCATGAGATAAACTAATTGGAATTTAATACGACACTATAGCGCCATCTTCAAATGAATCTATAATGAAAAAGAACTGGCTGCTATGACACTTTTTAGCGCCATCTACTGTTCAATTCGTCTTCCTACATTTTAAAAGTTTACATATTTTCTACGTGAACATATGTAAAATACACAATTATTAAAATGTACAGTAAATAAGAGAAACTTAAGAAAAACAGGAAATGGGAAACATTTTATTGTAAATGTTAAAAAAAGGCATTTAGGAAAGTAAGTGAGACTATACTCAATATATAGAAGTACAACTTAATATAGCATCATATATCTGCCTTACAAACTATCGTTGTGTGTAGAGAATAATATATTATTTTTTCGCGCCCTGTTTGGTGAATTTAATTTCCTTTTTCCCCACGCGGCTCGTTAGGTGAATTTAACTCGAATTGCGGAAATTTCAGTGCTGGCAAGTTGTTAACTTTTGTTCACGTTACACATCACGTTTTTCCCGCGAACTTTAATTTTCAAAAAGAATCAATATAGAATCATTGATTTTCTTATGAAGGTTTATTAATTTGATTGCTTCAGTGCGCTTAAGTTTTCCACAACCATAATATCGTGAAAGTGCATGAAAACAAAGATAAAATGCACTGTATTTTGTGTATTAAAAACTTAGGCATTTTCCCCTTTTCGTTTGCAGTTATCGCATAAAATAGAATCCATCATTTTATTTAATAACTTTTACTATTTATTGTAATGCATATACTTGATTTCTCATTTACTTACATACATAAGTTTGGGTTGTAATATCTAATATTAAAATATTTTATTTGAGCTTATAAATTATTAACACTATGCGCGGGAAATATGTCGCCTCATCACCTTGCAATCGGTTGGTTGTGGCATTTTTCTTTTTTACAAATCAGATTACAAAACGGAATGATCTGCTGGGTTCCTTGAGGTTGGCTGAGATTTACAAAGCGTCTTCTACATTTAACTAGGAATTTTGCATCGCAAGTCGGGAGGTTGGGAGCTGGGTTGGGAAATGTGCACAACTATAGGAGGAATATCGGTGCAGATGTTTTCTATACAAATATATAAATTGCCTACGAGAACACTTACGACTACAGCTAATGTTCGTTTTCGTTTTTTTTTTTTGTTTTAATTTTTGTTTGTTTTTATAAAATAACATTAAAAATTTTGGTACAGTCATCGGCAATGCATCGGTCGATATATGGATATCAATACTACTAATTGCAATGTCTAGCATTACGAACTATATCCCACCCGAACTGAACGGCATAAATCCTGCCTGCCTTATGTATTTACATTACCTCCTCGTTCTCTATCGAAACCCCCTTGCATTTTGATTATATTCCGTTCAATAATACAGTGCGTAATAGATACTGTTGGTGTATTGCCTCAAATGCTTTGTAAGCTTTGTCATATTCAATTACTTAAGTAAAATAAGTCGCAAATACTAAAAAATTATTGGGAGTAGGAACTAAAAGCACCAGCACAAAATATACACAATTTTCTTTGCTCAAACAAAAGAAATGGTAGTCACCCTAACTCAAATATTGTCCTTCATAGCCCCTAAACAAAACATAAAATATACAGGAAAAAACAACTAAAAGTATACATATTGCATCCATGTTCACGTTCACATTCAAGTCCTTAGCGGAGGCAGCGTGTGGCTGGCGGGGGGACGAGCGGCAGGAGAAGCGCTGGCTGCCGGCTCCAGTGCCTCCATCTGCGCCTGGAGCTGGCGTTTTGCCCGAAAACGCTTAAGCTTGCGCCTGGTCAGAAACAGATCGGGCTTGAAGCTCAGTTCACGGCAGGCTATCTGGTGCAGGGCGGGTCGCGACGAAAGGGTTCGCTGGGTTGGGTTCTGCTCCTGGTCCAGCTCGAAGGCCGAAAAGTACATTGGATTGGCGTTGGCAGCCCCGGTTGCCCAATCCCGCCACAAATTTCAATCCTGCCCTGCTCCCCCATTCGACTGTGTCAGCGGAGGTCCTGTCGCGCTCATCTCTCGCCGGTGTTCCAGCGACATGGGCATCCCGGGTCCCGAGTAGTCGTCGTCCAGAGATGAGGATTGTTTTGATCCCACCGACTTGCAGTCCTCGTCCATAGTGACGCCCAGGTGGTGCATAGCAGCCGCCGCATGGTGGCGCTCTGACGGCGGTAACAGGTTCAGCATGCTCAGTGGGAGGCCGGGAAAGCCGCCCGCAAAGTCTGGGTAGAAGCCCTGCGGGTTGAAGGGATTAAAGAGAGCATTCGGTCCGCTTAGCAGATCGGGCTCTGAGCTGTTGCTCCTCGGACCACCTGGCGGGCCTAGTGGTAGGCCAAGCTCTAGGTCCAGCGGTCCCAGGGAACCCATTTCACTGGGATGCGGCATGGAAGGACCATTTCCAGATGACTGGCTTCCGCCGCCAGCTGCATTCGAGGCTCCTCCGGAACTGTTGTTGCCCGCCGAACCTTTGTCCTTGTCCTTCTCTTTGCGTTCCTTGTTCTTCTCGCTCTTGCTGGAACTGCTGCCACTGCCCCCGCTGCCACCGCTGATGCCCATCTGGAGCATCTCAATGGGGGGTCCGCTGATGCAGTCCTTGCGCAGCTGCTCCAGTTTCAGGCTTTTTCCGTACTTGCCCCGCACGTACATGAGCAGGGAGTTGTACGGGATGCCAAAGATGCGTGAGGCCTGCGACGTGGTCATTTTCTTGTTCCATACATGCTGCAGTGCCTCCGTGAGCTCTGTGTTGGTCCAGGAGCGAGGTGGCCCACCGCGCGGCGCCGAGTGCTGTCCCTTTGGTCGTGGCACTGCAAGGAGAAGACGGGTAAAAAATTGAGGACTTGAGCTTCTCAGGGGACAAAAAAAGGAGAACTTCGGCGCCATGAGCTCGAGCACGAGTACCAGCTTATCGGTCCGCTTACATCTGCTAATGTTTCAATCTCTCTTGGCCTCATATGCTGCTGCCTAGACAAATTTGCTGAAAAGTCACCCATTGTCTGGGATCTGGGCCGTTGCCTCAGCTCGTACACACCCTGCTACGATTCTTTGTGTGGCACCTATTGGGGGACTGGGGAGAGCGATCGTTCTGCACTGCAAAGGCAACGGCAATGGCAACGAAGAAAGGCGGACGCTGTGGAGGTTCCCATCCTGACCCGGCCCGGTTCTCCTCTGTATGCAAATTACGAGTGTGCAGCGGCTGTGGCGTCACATGCGCCGCTAAAACTCAATTTAGATCCTCAGATATCGCCCGGCATCGGCACTGGCACTGGCACTGGCACCAGCGTCAGCGAAGCCACAGGTTCCTTTCAACCTTTGCCTATTTGCTCGACAATAAAGGCAAAGTGAGAGAGGAGGAGGTGGTGGTGTCTGTGAGGCTTCGGCTAACTACTAATTCCGCGGTTTCCTCGGTCTGATCATATGAATTTTCCTTTATTTGGGAGGTTAGAAACCGGGGCCTGCGCCTCCAGTTGCTGGGTCACAAGCAAGGCCTGACCCTTTGATTTCGGGGAAAAGGTAGATACAGAAAATACCTGGTCGTTTGGAGTATGTAGCCAGGCTAATGAAGTTCCAACAAACAAAACTGTTAGTCGAGTTAGCCGCATCGGGCTTTCACATAAAAGAAATTTGAATTTGGTACAAATCGCAAATCACGTTTCGCAGACAGAGCTCAAAACAAAACCAAAAACCAAAAACAAAAAACAATCGCGAATGAACAAATGAATGTGAACAAATCAGTTAATCACACCCACACGATTGCGGCCACGGAACACGAGAGGGATCGCATTCGCATCGAAGCTGTGAGTGTAGAGCTTCCTCGGCTCGTACTCGTACTCCTGCTCCCGATTGGTATCAGTTTGAAAACGGGTTTTGCAGATTTGCAATAAAGAATATCGTGCTATACGCCAGATTTGCGTTTTAGTTGCCGGCTTACATTGTTGTAATTGTGTTTGTAAATCCGACGATCGACGTCGCTCAGCACGCTTAAAGATACAGATTAGATAACACTTGGTCGATCATCCCTGGATGTTTTTCTTCCCCCTAAGCCCTGAATGATATTCCCAACATATGATCACGATGCGGGCATTGTTATTGCCTCGATTGATGGTTTATTGAGGAGCAGAAAATTAAGCAATTAACTTGGAACGACGCTTGTCAGACGAAAAAAGAGTTTACATTTTGAAAGTTCCAAGTTTTCTAAATCCCATATTCTCCATGATATCTCGCGAAGCTTCGGCCTACACGCATCGGATATTGAAAATGTTACTAAATAACAGACAGTAATAGCCAAGCACTTAACCCATCAACGCCGCTCATGTGTCGAATGAACTGTAAAAGCAAATGGCTCACATGTAGATTATCTTACACCGTTTTTCGATTCCTTCACTTCTCATTTATCGATCAAATCAAGACAATGGATTTCTGAACCACATTTATACAAAATGTGAAATGATTTCCCCAACAGACATATGTATATGTATGTACGAAAAAAAACTTCATTAACTCTGAGGTTTCACGGGCTGCCGCAGGTGAACTGGCAGAAAACGCTGCAAGTGCCTCGACTTCCCATCCTGCACTGGCCTAGCCCCGCCTCGCCCATTTGTCAATCAGAAAAAGCGACGTTTACATTGCGATATGCATAGGTGCACATGTTGCCCCATTCAAGAAACCAGTAAAGAAACAAACAAACCATTTCTCGAACGAACGATTCAGCGATTACATTGACGCACAGGAAAACCACAGAAACAAATTTGCCGCCTCACATGATCGCACGAGTGATCAGTGATCGGTGATCGCATCTGGAACGGATTGGAGGATGTGGAAGGAGGTGAAGGCATAGAATGCGGCAAAACGAACTTAATGCCTGAGTTTTTCTGCCAATGGTCGCTTTCGAAAATGGACTTTTGAGGAATCCTCGAATAAATTTGATTTTATAACATATCTTGGGGTAATACAATAAGTTAATGTTTAGCCCGGCGACTTACCGGACTAAGACTAGCTATGACCCTTTCTATTTGCTCTTCAATTACCCACAATTGATCCGGATTCCGGAGCCCAAAGTGTTTTCCAACCGCTCGCCCCGCTCAAATACGTGAGCCAGAGTGCAGGAGATCAAATGCGAAAGGCACAAAGGTAGAAGACGCGGCCTGAACTCTGCACCGAGATCAATCAGTCAGGTGTGAAGTATTGCAGCCAGGCACGGAACCGATCGATCGGCCTACAAGCTCGACTGCCTCAACGTGATCGACGCCAATCATGTCGAAATGATTTCGAACCTTTTCTTGGGAGGCGGGGAGGTGTTGGCTGCTGGCTGTGTGCTGGTTCCTTGGTTCCCGAGGTTCGCAATTGTTTTTGGGGTTAATTAGTTGTTTGCTCGGCTCGACTCGGCGTGGAAAGTTTGTTCTTGCGCAACTACGATTACATTTCTGGGGCTACTTGTACTTACTTTTCTTTTTGAGAAACGGCGGCGGTCCACCGGGCATGTCCCTCGGATCGCTCATCTCCATCAGAGGGTTGTACAGCTTTCCGGGATCGATTCCTGGCGGAAACAGTCCCAGTGGCGAGTCCAGGCCAAACACTGCAGAAGAAAGAAGACATTTCGATTAGTGGGGGCGCATAACTTATTTTTTAAAAACACACTGCACTGCCTTATATAAGAGTCACTGCAGTCGTGAAAATCAGCATAAGCGACTCATTTTCCAACCCACTGAAGCTGATTAGCCTCCAAGACAATAGACGCGAGCACACTCCGAGACGCGGCTCCGACCGGATAGTAAACAATGGGAACTCGTTATTCTATTAATATTTTACGCTTGGAGTGCACTTCTCCACATGAGTGAAACAATTGGTTCGCTGATGAGGCGGGCCGAAGGCTGAGGGATAAACCAAGCAGGCCGTCCTCCAAGGAGCCTGAGCCAACGCATAATATTGACATTGTGCTGAATGATTTCATAAGTCGCGCCGCGGATTCCAAGATGCAAACAAACCCATCAACAGACGAGCTCACATACAGACAGCGGTCGGGGGGCGAAGACAATGCTCTCGAGCATATGAATAAGACACGGATACATCCCTTGGCTCTATCCGTATCTGTGTCTCGAGGATGTGTTGTATCTGCAGCATAATGACACAAATAACGAGCGCACATTGTTTGATTCTGTGTTCTGAAGTAGACATTACAACACGCGGCGTATACGTAATATGCTTTCTTTTCTCCCCACTTCCTTTGACGGCGCCCAAAATTAGTGGATTTCTCTTTCAAATCCTGAAGGGTCTGAAGCAGATAGACTCCACCGCCCCACCACATGTCACAAGCTATTAGTTCAATGATTTTCACGCCGAAAATATTTCAGCAGAAAAAATAAATCACATTCTTCATACAGACGACGACCGGTGAACGGCGAACGACAAACGGTGGTAAATCTCTACCAGGTCTGTCTGCCAAGGTCCCGGTCAGGGATGTGGGTCTCCTTATAAACCACACTGGGTAGCATAGGTTATAGAAAAGTCTTTTGCCTATCTCTATCTAAATGTTGTATTTTAATGAATTTAAACCATAATAATTCAACATAAGCTACTTTGAGTCTCAAATTTCATCATATATGTATATCTACTAAACCTTAATTTGGCTTCTGTATTTGATTTCTGATTCACAATTTCATATTTTTTAATAATTGATTTACTTTTAATTGTATCGCAGACGTTATACAAGAATAAAATATCTGGGGTAACACACAGTCGAACCCTACAGCTCCTTGCCCACCGTATCCTTCGCTGGCTCCTTCATTGCCTGCAGCCTGTTTATGCAGTAGTTAGCGATTTGCTCGAATACGACTCGACTTTGGTGCGCTTTGCTCGCTTCACCCATTCCGCGGCAGTCTCAGTCGCAGTCATTGCTCTGATATGTTGGCTGAAATTTTTGTCGCATTAAAAGGTATTGCGCTTCCTGCCTGACTTCCACTCGGCATTTTCGTACAATTTTTCATATTTTTGTGCCTTAATTTATTTTATATCCTGTGTGCGCGTCTCGCCTGCATTCGGCCGCCCCGCCTTCTCCAGGTGAAGGTCCTGGTCCTTGGCTGTGGCTCTGCTCGGCGAGGGCCTCCCCAAACGGATATTATTAATATGAATATCGCGCGACTTATATGCAAAACTTGGGTGAGGGCACAGACTGGGGTGAGGGCAGGGCTAGGGCAGGGGCCGGGGCAGCCCGGCCACGAGACGTCGCCTTCGTATTTTTATTTATGCCGCCGACGCTGCCAAAGTTGTTTGCCAAAAGGTTTAAGTTGTGCGCGCTTTGGCATACTTTAAACACAACACATGGTCGAAGGAGACGGGCGCAGGGGGTGCTGGGGCGCAGCCAGGCAACTTAAAAGTCATTTCGCTAAACGTCTGCTGACAGTTTGAACTCAAACCGCTCCGGAACTTCTCCTCACATGTTCGAGGAGACACAACATAAATTTCTTGCGCTTTCTGCACGCAACGTCGGAAGCCAACCCAACCAACCAACCGCCCTCTTTCCGACCTTTGCACCTCAATTTGTGTTTGCGTTTGTTTCGCCTGACTCCGGGTGACATGAATATAAAAAATCATATAAAACGCAATTGAATTTACTTCGACTACCACTGCAGTTTCAGCACGGGACACAACCGCAACTGGCTCTAGCCGGGCCCTTCCCAGACGGAATTGTCTGTTGGACAGATTTCAGCAAGAACGGATAACAAACTGGGGGGGGGGCTGCCAAACTGTCAAATTATTGGGATACCCATTGCCTATGCGATTGCATTTCCATATTTCTTATTAGCTGTCAGCAGCGCAAACTTTTTATGACTTAATTAGTAGATAGAATGAGCACTGGGAAGGTTCGGGAGCATTTCAATCCCTATCCTGGCTCCCAATAAATGTCGTCGAAACGCGGTTTGAGGTTCTCCACCAGTGGGTCTGTCATATGACATTGACGATGGGGGCATAAGGAGCCTTAATATGCTTAGGGGCTTTGCGACAGCTTTGGAAGCGTACAAATGCAAGAGTCCTTCTCCAAGGATACTTGACGACACTTTGATGTCGCACAGAGGCCACATGTTGCATTTCGTCGCCAGCTTTAGCAGGAGGGACATGCAAACATGTCAAAGAGACGCAACTCCTCGTTAGGCGGAAACGGGAATGAGGATGAGGACTCTGGAACGTGAGCATTTGGAAGTTAGCTGGCGTTATTAAAGACTTCCGTTGGGCGGTGAGTGGAATTGCATAGCTCGAAAGGCCAATAACACAGTGACCTCTTGGGTGAATTCAAACGAAATTAGATTCAAACCGGCTGTGGCTACTTACTGTGCGGCGGCGTTAGCGTCATCGCCGAGGACATGCCGGGAAAGGGCAGCGGCGAAGGCGGATGCTGTGGTCCATCCGGCGGATTGAAGTGTCCGGGCAGACTCATCGGGGACGCTGGGGCGAATTCCTTGCCAAACTCCTTGCCGAAGTCTTTTCCAAATTCCTTGCCGAGCTCTTTGCTCAGTCGATTCATGCTCTCCTCGAGCCGTTCGTGCGCCGCCTGGCCAGGACATCCGCTTCCTGGACCACTGCCCGGAGGTCCTCCGTTGGGTCCCCCGAACGGGGGCATGCCCATTGGGCCCAGCAGGTTGCTGGCAAATGCGTTGTGGTCTCGGGGATCGCGGGCATCCCGGGGGTCTCTCTGGTGCATGGCAGCTGCTGCCGCCGCTGCTGCTAGAGACATCTCCATCTGGTGCTCCATGTGGTGGAAGGGATGCTCGCCGGCTCCGGCAGCAGCTACGGCTGCAGCGGCAGCAGCGTGCATCTGTGCTTCCAGGGCTTCCATGTGGCAGGGCGGGCTGTCCGGCAGTCCTGGTGGCCGCATACCGGGCGGTGGAAAGCTTAGCAGGCCGTTGTTGCCACCGGAGCAGCTGGTGGGCGTGTGGATGGCCGTTGGGTTGGGATTGGCGTTTAATTGGCGGATGTCCTTCAGGGATAGCATGATGCGCTGGTTGTTGTCCTGTAGTTTGCTGCTGTTGTTGTTATTGTTGTTAGATTCGCAGTCTGAGGAGTGGGCACCGCCAGCGTTCGAACTGTTTCCATCTTTGTCCTTCTTGGTGGTGCAGAGATCCTCGGGTCCGTCGCTGGGACAGGGCGAGGGGCTGGGTGACATAGCAGCTGCATTAGCAGCAGCGACAGCAGCTTGTCGCCTCAGCTCGTTGGTCGTGTGAATAAGCTCTTCAATATCCTGCTCCTCCTCCTCTTCCTCATGATCCTGTTCGTCGTCATCGTCATCGTCTAGCTCGTGGGGCTGATCGGGTCCCTCTGGTTTCAACTGGTGCGTCTCCTTGGCTTGCTCTGTCGTCGTTTCCGTTGACGTGGCTCCGTTCTTCTCCGCCTCACTGTGGCTCTGATTCTGATCCAGATCGCGTTCCTGACCATTTTCCTCGTCGTGATCCCTTTCCGCTCGGTCGAGGAGTTCGTGCTTGATCACAGTTTGCAGTGGCTCCGCCTCGGTCTTGTTCAGGGCAAAGTCGTGTGGAACGTCGCCGGAGCGACGGCGTGGGCGGGCTTGCTTTCGGCGTGGCATTGGCGAACTGCCTCCTAGTTCCTGGTCGCTCTCCAGCTCTCGGTCGCATTCCTGTTCCCGCCTTCGTCGCAGACTGAGTGCCGCCATGGTGTTTGTCGCGCTGCCGAAGAGGCGGGCCGACGACATCATCAGCTTGCCGGCTGTCGATGGGCGGACCATCGAAGGCGACTCGTCCTCAAAGCTGGAGGACAACATGGAGGTGTCCAGCATTTCAAAGTCATCGGGCGAGGCTGCCGGAGTGGGTGTGTGCTCCGGCACAGAGCTCTCGACAAGACCACGCACCTGCAGCGACTCGCCAGCCTGGATAAGGGTCTGGAGACGCTGCTGAGGCACGCTGATCTCGCCGCGGTACATGAAGTCGACGATGGCCTGCACCACCCATCCGCGGAAGTCCTTGAGAACGATCACGGGGTGCTTGCAGGGAGTTTCCGCGAAGACGCGCTGAAAGAAGGGCGAGCAGGCGGAGAGTACCATTTTGTGTGCACGGATCGATGTTTCGGCGCAGACCAGGGTCACGTCCACCAGCGTCTTGGTCTGCAGCAGGGCATCGAAGGCTCTCAGGATGTGGTTCTGGTGGTTGTTCCATCGGAGACTGTAGTGATCCTGCGGCGCTGCGTTGCTGCCAGTTGCTCCTCCGGTGGGCGGTGTGGCTGGTGGACTGTGACATGGTGGAGTCGCCGCTTCTGGCGCTGCTTCCGCTGCCGTCTGACTCATGTTCAGCGGCAGGGGCGGAGGCGTGGGCGGTGTCGTGGGTGGCGTAGAGTGCATGGGGGCGTGGTCGTTGCCCGGAGTCTTGGCCAAAAGTGGCAACGGCATGTTCATAGGCAACGGCAGAGACAGGGGCAGCTGAGCGGGCGCCACCTGTCGGGCGAAGTCTGTCATGGGGAGCGACGTCAGCGGGCGGCGTTTAATCAGCTCCTGGTCGGCGTCCTTTAACATGCCCCGTTAAAGTCACGTGCAGAGCGCCCCGCTTCTCTGAAAGAGCGAGAGAGAGAGAGAAAGAAAGAGGGGACATTAGGCGGGAGACGAATAAGCAGAGCTTAGAAATAATGCCTGGCATAATGTATTCGTATTCATGACATATGCTGCGAGGTATATCTGAAGTGTGTGCCGTGTGATAATATGTTAATGAGTCGCGACATATATCATTTTTCCAGTTGTGGGCCAGAGCATAGCTGCAAAAAAAGACAAAAGCCGGGCAGGAAAGGAGCTGGCGACGAACAAGGATAACAAAGCCAAGGTGTAGCAATCACAGTAGCTACGTGTCGTGTCGCATATCCTCGAGGATATCACATGCAGATGTGTGATGTGTGATAATGGCTCATTCCCATCTCCCATCATACGCAGCGTGCGTCTGCCTCGGCTTTTGCTTTGTTTTGCTTTGCTTAGCTGTGGCACAGTGGGATAAAATGTAAAGGATAGAGCTTGCTTCTCCAAGATCGCTATTAATTAATCGACAGACCTTTTTGAAACCTTTTTAATAATATTTAGAAAAGGAATCAAATTTATAATATAATATAATTCCCAAACTGAGACAATACTTCTTAGGTATGCCATTTCCAGTCGTCGTCTAATTAATTCAGCCACTGTCTGGCACCCCTGCCTTGAAATACGCTAAGGTCCTGCGTGTGTGAATTTTAAAAAGAGTCACCAGCTGCCTGACTGCGTCTACAGCAACCCAGGAAACTTCCGTATCCCTCGCCCTAATATCATGGAGCAAAATTAAAAAACTTTGCTAGGAGCTCAGGCAAAATAAACATTTTTATTTGCCGTACTTGCTGCATCTTCCGCTCGTCCTGTTCGCTATCTGCCGAGTGGTTGCTTTGGGAGCTGGAGCTGGGGCTGGAAACCGCATATTAACACATGCGTCTCCACTCCAGGACCTGCTGGTGTTAAAGGCACCGAGACCAAACCAGAGCCAAGGATAACTACGCTCGAATGCAACAATGTGCAATTAGCAGGGAACTGCTAGGCGTTCGGGTTTGGTTTACTCCTTTTCGCTATTTTTTGCTTTTTTGCTCGTAACTCATTTGCGGTTTGCGGCAGCTGAGACAACATTTTTATTTATTTATTTTGCTTTAGAGTGGCGACAGGTAAAAGCAAGTTAGTGGAACGCCGAGGAGAGAGACTGTCAAGTTTTTTAATTAATGCCAAAGTAAGTCAACTCAGTGGAAGGTGGCTATGGATCGCACATTGAGCAGTTACGTCCGGATGAATTTAAACAGTTTGCATTACCATAGCCAGGGGCTTAAACAAGAAACTATTTCACTCACATGATTCTCAAATCTAAATCTTACATACCATTTGATGTCACCAAATATCAAGTTATCTCAGATATCCGTAAAAAAAGTTCGTTCAACTTTGTATTATTTCGTTTGCACTCGTACTTCCGTTCTTTTTTATGTTTGCAGCCTTCACTTTAATCCTTTTTGCAAAAATCGGGGATCACAAAAACATTAATTTAGACATTTTATTGCAAATGAGTCTGATTTGTCACTGCCGCGTAGCTCGGTCGATCGCAACACGTTCCTGTCGAGGGTTTGCAACAAACTGAACCAGATCTATGCAAATAAATGCACCTATGAGCGAGCTGCCCTCAGCACACACCACACACCACACACCCCGCACAACTCACACATTCACCCTCATGTGCATGTGTGTTTCGTGGTGGGAGCGACAGGATCTGCTCGGTATCGTGTCGTTCTCACAGTGCCTGGGTTCAGCCTTCGGCAGAACCCAAAGTTCCCGACTTGGTCGGCCTTGCAGGTGATAATCAGGTGCGTGATCGTGTCTGTTGACAGACACACACATACAACAAATAAACAGAAGAAGGTCCTGCAGGCCAGTTGAGAAACAGGTAGATCGCGAAGGGCCACATATTTCTCTCCTAAAAGGCTGCTGACAGGTCAATTTGCAGCCCATTTTTCTGTTTATACTGCTACGGCGATACTTTAATTTGGCAATTTTCGAAGAACTCTATTTGGATTCATTTAAAAATGTTTTGCACATGTTTATTTATGATAGGCGCGATGTCTGTAGCAGAGAAAACTCAAAATATTCGGTGTAGAGTTTATATGACCATCGTTAACTGGTTAATGGTCACAATATTTTATAATTTCAAGTACAAAACTTAAATATTAACTTAAATATCGAACGGAAACTATTTCAAAAAGGGGTTTTGGGAAATAAAACGAAAGTTTAGAGATCTTTTCCTTCTTTTTTTTATAATTTTGGAAAATTAGTAAAACTTTCTGTAAATCGCGAACTAATTCTGTAGGTTAAATGTCTTTTATAAGCAATAGGTAACCCTTAATTTCTTTACATTATACCGTCATTCACATGTGAGGATTTAATGGATTAACATACTTTCCGATCGGGTTAAAAGTTAGTTAAATAGGCGGCGGTGTTATTAGCGACTGCTGAACATCGTAAAGGCTATCGGGTAACGGGTAACGGGTAACGGGTAATGTCAAGCTTGTGTGTGGGTCGCGTGTATGTCTCGAACCGTTCAAACGTCACGAAGCGACTAATTCAAATGATGTCGGCCCGGCCGAAAAAACACAGCAACTGCGCCGCAGCTAACGGTAGCGACAGCAGCAGCAGCAGCACCGGCGACGGCGACGGCACATACGCGCTGCTGCCCCCACTGCCACCCACCCACACCTCACCGGCAGTAGCCACCCCCATACGCGCACACTTATGAGCAGCGGGCCACAAACAGCCGGAGCAACACATGAGGAGGATGCTGCTGCTGTGTTCCGTTCGGCAGGACGAAGCTCCGTCGGATCGGGTTTGCCAGAAACTGGCTGCGGAGCCCACCGAAGCAGTGGAGCTGGCAGAGACGCCAGCGTCCTTACTCCTTCATCATATAAAATATATATTTTCGCTTATCACAGCAGCAGGAGAAGGAGCGAAGGAGCGGGCGAGGATGTCCTCGCACGTCACGTACACCGAAAAAAATTTATTATGTATATGTGTATACGAAATACATTTGCATACATATGCGTAGCCGAAGACGAGGATGAACCGAGCGACACGAGGCGAACCGAAGCGACACGAATGGAGCAAAAAAGAGCACGAAGAGCGGAAAACACACGCACACCAACCAAAGTCGTCCCCCTTGCACAAACACACACGCACACACACACACACACACTCATGTGGAGGCTCGGAATGCCCGTAAAGAGTAATAGCCACCACCAGACAACAACAAAAACAACAACATAAAGGACTTGAAAGGACGCCACCCGCGGTTCTTCACTCACAGCTCACAGTTGTCACACGTTGGGAGCCAAACTGCGCGTGAGTGTAACATTTTTTAACGGGCCCCCCCAAAAACGCCGGCGCCTCAGTCAATGTCGGCATCTGCGTCGGCGTCGGCGTCGGCGTCAGCGTCAACGTCGCCTTCAACATATCCCTTTTTTGTCAGCTTATGGAAATTTCAAAGCTGCGAGTTGAGTTTTTCCCGCCGTCGAATGGGGAAAGTGGCACACTGAGCCACCGGGTGAGCGAGAGCGAAAGAGAAGCCAGCAGAGAGCGAGACGGAAGATAAGTCAGCAAGACAGAGAAGGAGAGAGTACGAGACCTAAACAACGTACGTGGGGGTGTATCTGTACCCACACATGGACAACTCTTCTGCTGCTCATCTGCCAGGAAAGCCGCAGCGCAGCTTTTCAGGCTTTTCCAGCAGCGCTGCCGGCTGCACCGTCGCAGCGCCGTTGCCGTCCTTGTCGCATGTGCTCAGTTTTTAATATGTTATCTATTTCCACGCCATGCATGCGAGCTGCCTTTTACATAGGAGCTCGGAGAACGGAGGGTGGAGCGCCAGGACCACGACGTTGGCGCAGTGCCACAGGAAAGAAAAAATCATATACACAACATATTACACACACATAGCGCACGCAGTACATACATATGTCTCTCCCTCTCGCCGGCATGTGAGCGAAAGAGAAATGGAAAACAAAAAGTCTGTATGTCTGTATGTACGAAGTTCGGAAAAACCAACCCCTGGCTGAGCGCTATTTTTGTGGAAATCGGAAAAGCGGTTGCGGGAAATTCCGAACGCCAGGCTGCAGGGAGGGTGACTGTGCATGTGTGTGCCCTGCCCTGTTATTGTGTGTGGGCCATATGAGCACGTTTTTGCAACATTTCGATTTGTTGGCGCAAATCTCTCCTCGCTCACCAATACACACAGTACATAGGACGGGACAGGATACGGCACACAGAACACGCGTGTATATACACACGCCCACATATGTGCTCGGATGGATTAGTCGGGGTCAGCCGAGGCCAGACATTGGTCGATGTCGGGCTCCTAAGAGCGTATGACTGCCGGGAAAGATGGAGGGATTGTGTAAACCCTACATGCCATCCCGATATTCCATAGAAATTCACAAGACCTTCGTACCCTTTGCTGTATATTCGATCCCAGCAGAACAGATATGGCTACACTTCCCTAAGGGGCTCTATGTCCTATTTTAAATCCTTCTAGAGTATTACCATATTTTCATATCTCTTTCGTTTTGTGTAGCCAACTCTCCGCTTTTCTGTTTGTCTTCTTTGCACTTAACTCTGTACTCTCTTTGATAGTTCATTTGCATTTTATGATTTGTTTGCCTGCCCTTTGTTTCCAACGCTCCGCTTTCGGCATAAATTTTAATTGTCTTTCTTCGATTTTTACTTTGCGCCCTTCTTTGCCTGTTTTTGTTGGTGGAGCCTGGGGAGTGAAGGCCCCCTTGGTTACGGTGGCGCCCACCTTTGGTCTAGGCTCTGAGCCAGTCACACCTTTGTCTCGGCAGCTCCGCTTCTTTCCTGCCTCCCGTGTTTAAAGGGATGACCGAAAAATTAGTTATTGTTATATATGTAGGTCGGTTATAAAATGTATCGTTTTAAAGAAAACTATAGGAGCTGCCTCGTTGTTTCTTCTTCAGTGTGGATAA